ATGTGTTCAAACCATTAACCAGTACCTTTAGTTTGCTAGAAGAAATCAAATTCCTTAATAAGATGATTAAATTGACATTACAAACAACTGTGTCTGATGTAACTGAATACTGATGCTATTACCTAGTTAAGTGAAGACAATTATTATGACTTTAAATTATTCTGCAAAACTTCAACACATTATTAGAAAACATAGCCTAAAAGAATTATCGATGTGACCTTAAAGAAGTATCAAACATTACTGCCTAATACATAGACATATTACACACACCACATACCCACGCACAACCTCATACACACGCACACGCACACACCCACACACACTTTATGAATTCCAAAGAATTGCAAAATAGTGTAAAATATTGTAGCGTTATCCTTCTTCCGCGTTCGAGTCATTCGAGTGGGATCACATTGAACACGTACGTTACCACACTGTAACAAAGTTAAACATCCCCAGCTATTAGACGAATATTAAGCTTTCAAAACGAATTACGTCAAAGTGATGTTTGAACTCCAAAGTATGTTCGTAAGGTCTTTATCAGTTACACCTGCATTAGTTTGCATCGCGTTCTTCCCCTTTTTACAGGGTTGAGGACGGCTCAAATTTGTGACAATTACCGATCAAGATGGGAAAACGTGACCGAGCGATGATGGAAGCTGGAACTAAAAGGCACCGCCAAGCTGCAGGGGTGCTTCCTTCGTAATAGAGAAGGAAGACCAGTGGTAGAAGAAGGACTTTCATACGAGGGATGTGTGGAAGATCATTTTGAGGCAAGGAGGACGAAGGAAGGAATCTACGTATAATATTTTCAAACACTCTTGTACTTGTTTGTGGTTAAAAACGGAATAAATAATTATGCAGACATGACAAGAGTCGATTTCTTGTCCATTAATGATAGGGACATATGGTATATTTTAAATTAAATTAACGATATGTTACAATTTTACATCTGGAAATATCATGTTTATTCGTTCCCTGCTTTGTCCCATTTTCAATATCTCTATTATGCTCAATATCAATATTATTGATCTGAAAATGAATAATTTAAATTTAGTTATATACGTGATATTTCATTGTGGGAAGAAACAGTTTCAAGAAAATGAGGGGAAATATAATTTTACAACATATTCTCAGTCACTAGATCTAAATCGTCGCTAACACTGACTGGTTTCATAACTTCAAACCTAGACCTATATTTCTATACCGAGCCCTGACACTAGACCTAACTTAAAACCAAAAAGCAAACCCTACCTACCTCTAATCTTTTCTCTTTGACCAGGATAAGCCTGTACCATTGTCGGATCACATGAAATATGAGGAATACTGAAAGCAAATTCTGAACGTTAACAAAAGGTTTGAATCTAATATTAACACTATAATAAAACATTGACGGTACTACATCATCGTGACCATTAATCGTACCCATCTATCATATATATCGATCGTTCGATCATCCCGCACCTAATATTGCTTCTATAACCATTGTAGTGTGCCTTTAGAGCCTATTTTTTTTATTTTCGAAAGATAAATGTTTAAATAAATACAGAAAGAGACTGTTGTACTCTTATGGCAAAGTTTTCGTAGAAAAATGGACAAGCAACTGACAGTTATGAATCGAGAGCGGGAGACAGGCTCAAAAAGTGAAGTGTCATGTTTTTCTGTAAGCAATCAGACTGTGTCTCTTTCATAATTCAAAATCTATATTTTTTCTGATATCCTGCAGGTTTTATATGTCTTTGTTGCGACGTTTTCAAGCATGGTGGTCTTATACATACATTTCTTCATATTGTGTTATGAAGAGAATGAGATGTTTTCCGAAAGTATAACTAAAATAGTGAGAGGGAGAGTCGAAGTTGGCGGTCCCAAGTCCTGCTTTGATGTGAGCCGGCGGCATGGTGCTAACTTGAAAGCTTCCAGTCGTCAGCAATAGTGTGTTTATTGTACATATCTATATGTTTCCTTCTTACTCATTTAATTATTTTGTTGTTTCGAATTGACACGGGTAGCATGCGGGTAGCATGGCGAAACGTGAGGGATTTTCCAAATGTTTGGTCTGTTACTTAAGTTTAACTGCGATATTAATGATATTTTCTCACGGAAAACATTTTGATGGTGTTGCAAAATTACTCAAAAACAGTTCTGTTTAATAACATAGCCGTTTAAAATAAGCTTGTAGATTTACACTAGTGAGCATCTTGGAAGCAACGGACCTAGTTAACAAAGAAAAGTTAAAATCAAGTATGAGAATGACTGATATAAAAACCAAGAGAGAAAATGTTTGATTTTGGGATCGATGAAACTTTGTAATTTTGTAGCACTAAAAAACTGCAAATCGTTTACATGTATTTGTTTCTATTTTTCTCGCGAGAGAGAGAGTCCATTTAGGGGCCAAACACGCCCCCGCCCCTTCCCCGCCAGCTTCCGCGTTCGTGTTAATTACAAATCAGGTTTCTAGGTTACAATTGTTATTTTATTATAGTGTATGTAATTAGCTTAGGCCGACCTGATTTTATTTCTTTCTTTCTATTTTTGTAATTATAGGTTAATCTGATTTTGATCTCATGGAATTGATTTACTCAGATCATTTCACATTTTACAAATGTGTGAAGTGTCGTGTGTATAATAAGTTTATTTAGAGAATGAATCTCAAGATCCTGTCAGTTCAAATGCGATACGACCCTTGACACAGATGGCTTTAAACCATAGCGATACACAGATGTGTCAAGTCTTTAGAGAGTATAAATTCAAGGTTTACTCAATGACATTTGATGTGCATGTGGCATTGAATGAAAATGAAACGATATGAAAATACATATGGTCATAATTCTAGAGTATTACGTTTTGTAATTTAATACCAATCAGAAAGAATACCAATAACTAAAACAAATTTTGACATATTCCGAAAATCTTAGTACCCCGGTAAGAAAGAAAAAAATAGATTTTTTTACATTTTTCCCGGAACAAGTATGGTGAACGAGTGAACCAAATTTTCTGATATCGAAATTAACCAATTTAGAGATGTATCAAAATAAGACGAAGCCAATAAAGGAAAAGAAGAAAAACATTTCGAAATTCGTTAAAGTCAACAATCAAAATGTTAGAAATTGAAGAATTATGTAAATCGTTAAATCGTTCAAAGTACTAATGAAAAGGAACTGAGAGGTTGGAATAGAGAGGTGAAATGACTTAGTACACCTAGCTGTCAGCATTCGACCCAGTTTCTGACATTGAGAATGTGGAAGTACCGAGTATACATCATCACACCGACCCACCAAGGGAGAGCTGACGCATTACAAGAAGATTGAAATAAAATACTGTTACAGTGTCGGGTAATCTGCCATGAGATGTGATGAATCTCAGATTTATCTCTCTCATTTTTGTTTTATATCACGTCCAGGTGTCTTTCATGAATTATGTTAGGAGAGAAGATTGACAAGAGAGAAGAGGTTTTAAAGGAATAGGAGTGATTTCAAAGAATACATTCAGTTTGCCTTGAACAGCCATGTAGAAAGAACTTTGACATTTGCTGTTATTAATATATATATTTTTTGCAGTGTTAGGATAAGGTGTTTGAAAGTTAAAATGCATATTTTAACTGATTTACGCCGTTTCTAACAATTTCGTTCCAGGGCACAATAGCAACTGAAGAAGAAACACCGATCTGTTTTTCGATATTATCAGAGAAGAATCAAGCGCAAGCACTGGCGCCTCATTCCAAAGAAATATTGCCAATATCGGTTCGTCCCTATTCCACTTACAAAAGGCAACCCTGTAGCAATGCCTGAAAATATTGCATCATTTTTTTTCATATTCTGCTGTGACCAAATGCATCTTATGATAACGTCAAGTAATTCACTTTAAACCGTTAAATTAATTTAACAAACACTAATAATAACATTTTTACCCATATTCTGTTGCACTCATATTGAAATCATTAAACGAGTCATGCAATATTAAACGTCAATGTATAAACTCCGATTCAGAGCAATTGATTAAATAAACATACATGCATCTAAAATAAATGAAATGTAAAAGAAATTTATGTCATATAGCATTCTGGATGACAACTCTGTACGGTATCACGATATTTGTGACAAAGTGACTGACTACGGAAAAAGACTTATAATCGACATCTTCAAGAAAGAAAAAGAGAGAGCAACTTTGACATTGCACTTTCAATACTCCCGCGGCGGTTTCATTTCCCCTAAAATTACTCTAACAAATATTAGAATTTATCCATGGTCCGATCAAAAATTGAAGGGGGCTCAAATTTAAAAATAGGAAGAGACAAAGTTCGTTGGGTTTCTCTTAGGGGCGATACTAGATCTCTCCCATAATTGGCTGACTCACGATAAAGGTTACTCTCTCGGATGACCTTTGCCCTTAGGTCATTGACATGTCATCTCAGGTCAATGGACATTTTACTTGCCACAGTTCATAGAAAATAACCATTAAATTGAAATTTTCTTTGAAACTTAATTTTGTTAATTTTTTCGATTGTTTCCGACCCAGTCATTGTAACACCGTGTCTATTTTAACAATGCAGAAGATATACATCCAAAACTTTGTTTACGAAAGTAAGTGGATAATATTTCATTTTACTTAAAGAACAGATCAAGTAGATGAATAGACTACACAATAAAATGATACAGTCATGCATCCTTCGTGTTCTTTCAAGAATAGCCTTATCTCTCTGACCGATGGAGAATAGAATATTTAGAATGTTTACTTTATTGATATCTGGAAAGGCTCGCAAATTATCAAAATTTCACACTCAGAATCTCAACATGGTTTCAGATGCCAGTGGGTAAATTTTAAATACGATATAACACATGTGCAATTCTTAATTTTCATGTCAATCAACCTATTTTGAGTTTAACTTAGTTATTCTTTGAAAAAAACAAATTGACAAAAGACTACGGTTGTCTTCTAGTTTGTTTTATAAATCATAATATTCCAAGTATATATTCCAAGTATATATTCCAAGTATATATTCTCACCTCGTGACATGAGAGCGTGAGCAAACGGGTTTCCATGCCTCATCTCAAGGCTGGAGCAATTCCATCGTCTGTTCTTCATCTGATGTTGGCATTCATGAACAGCCATATCGATGCCCTGGATGGCGGCGGCTGTGACGTCGGGCATCCGTCGACATAACTGCATCTGCTTACGATTCATACCGGGGAAGGTTCGGCAGAGGGTCTGGGTGTTACGGAGGTCGCTGAAGTCGGGATCATTGAACGATGAAATTTCATTCGAGCTGACGTCGTATGGACGACTGATGAAAAGAGAAATAATTGTGGTGTTTCATATCAGGCCCTGGTCGATATAAGTAAGCAAGGTCAAATACTGCTCAAATTTAAGTAATTGGTATCATCACTAAAAATAAATATTACCTGCCTATATATCTTTATCATTATTGGAAATAATTAATAATAATAAAAAATAGTGGGTTCTTGGATAGCGCTCATGTCTGTCAGACTTGACACTCCTGGCGCCACCGATTATTACCCTGGCTTTAGCACGGCTACCATTACGGCGCTCTAGCACTTCAAGGAATTAATTCCTGCCAGGTACGCATTTTCATCACCTGGGTTGAGTGTGGCAAATGTCGATCAATGTCTTGCCAAAGGACATTAGTGCGGCGGCGGGACTCGAAACGCGGACCTTGTGGTCGACATTCCGGTGACATATCCACTCGACCACCACACCCCTTCACCACATTTAGTAAACGTAAATGTTATTTGTTTGTGTTTTTTAAATCTCCTCACTGTTTGATAAATTTTCATTTAAATCTATAAACTGTGAAACTTGATGGTTTTCAATATACTATTTAAGATTCCTCACTCACCATCACAATGTTCAATGAAATCAGTTTAGTTACGAATTACGTTCAGTTGTTTTGCATGAAAATAATATGGTGAATTTTCTTAAACGGCTTGAGTAATAACATGTAAACAAAAATGCCATGTTTCAAAAATGTATATAATAACCATACACCTAGAAATTCAATGGTTTTGCTGATATAAATACGAGGCATTAAGGGGTTTTATGGGTGTATATTTCTTCATGAACTACTGAGAAAGGAAATAAAAATGCAACATAAATAAAGTAACATTTTTGAAGACACAATAAAGGAATTTTATTTCATCTGATTTCCAGGCAAACCTAATAATCTGAGTTCACAATCGGTCTATACCGGAAAGCAATTTCATCGTCTGACGATATCGTTCATCTCGATTCTTATCAGACGGAACGTGGGATTGGGGAGAAATAATATATATAGGGAACATATGTCTTTCTTCGAGAAAGCTTGTAATACAGATGACACAGATGACACAGATGACATCTTTTAAGAGTAGGTGGTGTTATCCTACATTTTGTGGAGTTAGCATTATTCGGAAATTAACTTTTGCCAAGTTTTGGATCACCATCACATTAAACATATTGTACAGGTGATTCGCTAAGCCCTATAACGTAGGATCACAAGATTTGATCGCAGATATGAAGAATTGAAAAGGGGCGTTTTTCATAACCCCTTAATGAAATACAAAATGTCTTGGTGGGATGCATATTTGTCCCATGGTACATGGAAGGAATGAAATGTAGCACATTCATTCGATATCTTACACGATGTCATTGCAAACAATACTTTATCTTTTTTTCTAGGCAACACACTGTTTTGAATGCTACATTTTTTCATTTGATTTAAAACCAAAGTAAATCCCATTTATGTTTACGCATTTACGAAAAGGGACAAAAGTATCATATTACGTAATATAAAAAAAATAACCAACGAAAGTATGAATATGTTTGAATTTTTATACAATTCAATGATTAATGAATTAACAAACATTTTTAAAGAATATAGAAGACTGAATGAATTTTATAAAAATAATGAATATGATTTTCTTTAAGGCATGAACGAACTAAGTTATATATTCACATTGATAGGCACCTACAAGTTTTTTTTAAAAGAATGTACTCTTCTTTTCTTCCAAGATGTGATTGTAGATGAACTAGCTGACTCTCTATCTGACCCTGCTTCGGGTCACCGTAGCTGTTTGCTTCTCGGTCAAAACAAGTTCGACAATTGCACTTCCTAGCCTAAATCACCCGATTATCTACATGTCAACACAATGATTATTTTACGCTTCGGAATAAAACCAGAACTAAAAGATGAAGAAAAGGGAATTATCAAAGCCATATGCCTTGAGATTGCTAGAGATGATTTACAAATAAACCTAGAAAATGAAAGAGAGGGAGAGAGGATGAAAAAAAAGAAGACTAGCCTACCGCAATCTTACAAAGCTATGAGTTCATCGATATCGTAACTTTTAAATTCCCTGGATTTGCAAGAGAAATGGTTTTATTTGCGAGGGGTGTTGAAAGACAGGCAAATTGGACACGTTTAGTGGCTCGGGAGAGGGAAAAGTGACGAGGTGATACCGCCTAGTGTAACAATGGGATTTGGCCAATTTGTTCGTCACATTCCTGAGTCGTATCAGATTGAAATCTTTTCTTTAGGACCCTCCTAGGAATGACAAAAGGGTTATTTCAAATGGTTTTGAGAAACGAAAACCTGCTCGATATGAAAGCATTCGTTTGCATATAATTTTACTTTGTTATCTCTTGAGCCTGAAGCCTGTCACATTTTGTAGTATAACTACAATAATATTCATAATACTAAAGAAATATTGTATAGACATGACTAGGTAGAAATAAAACGTGTATATTTAAACGTATACAATGATTTAAATGATGCAATGATTATTGTTTTAAAAAAACAAGGTTTCAATGATTGTATTCTTCTCTTTTCTTATTATGCTGTTTAGAAACATAGAATGATTCAACTACGCACTCCAACCAATAAAAAGCTAGTTTGACACAAATGTTCAATTACATGTACGGTCCCTTAACCATCCCGAAATACCTTTTACGAATTCCCTAAAATATATGTAAATGTTGTAAACATGTCATTACTGAAAGCCTAATATTCATAATATTTTAGCTCGATCCTCTCTTTGAAGATGCTAAATTCCACAGTTCTTTCATTCATTATTATTTTGCCTTTTCATCTCGTCGTTGCCGACATGTCCCCCTTTTCCGACATTTGTTTTTCCTTTCTCGATCTTATTTTTCTCGAAATTTGCTCCTTCTTGTTCTACTCCATTATGATTATTCAAGCCTTTATAGAATCGTTTTTTATATACTAAAACACCTTTACTTTACGCCTAACATCTACTAAGCTAGATGTTTCAGCGATTACATTTAGGCACTGATCCATTTTATTGAGATCTCCAAGTGTCAGAGGGAGAAAAGAAACTTCTTAATTAAGAGAACGCGGTGAAAAGTTTGCAATTTATACAGCTCCATTTTATGACCGTATTAAACCAACCATGGGACAGTCTTGAATAAGGACACTTAACTTTATTGGAAAAGTAGTTAAGTCAATCTCGAATGAAAAGCTGTAGTGGTTTTTGAAAAGGACGACGATAACTTTTCGACTAGGGTGTTCCAAGTGAGATGGGTAGTTTGAAAGTTTGTATGACTAATAGACATTATGCTTATGGCTTAATTTGTTTGAACAAATTTAGGCACATGAAGTGCGATGCAAAAAAAAAGAATAAAGAGTAACTATTTATTAATGTTATTGGCTCTAACGAATGTTAAAGTTACGATGTTCACATATAAGTCATATCGTGTATTTTGTCTCACTTTAAGACATGACATCTTGAATTGCTTTTTGTTTGATCAGTTTGCCTTAATATCAGCTGCTGTACAGAGATTTGTAAACGTGCATGCAGGTAAGTGGGAAGAAAAGCATCCAAATATTTGTCTGAATTATTATCTTGTAAATCACATCTATACGTACATAACAAGCTGCTTCTAAAAGCACCGAAGACAGACACAAAGGTAACTCTTGGAGATTGCGCTTTTAGTTGCGCCGCTCCAAAGCTTTGGAATGACCCTAGACATAAGAGAAGCCTCATCTGTTGCTTTTCCCAAAGTTTTGTTGAAGACGCACTTGTTTTCAGATGATTTTGAACAGTTTGTCTGTAAAGTAGCACTGTAAGGAGTTTCGTTTTCATCACAGCGTAGTAGAGTATATTTATATAGAGGCCGCGCTATTATTATTAGCGTTATTAGTCATTATTCTAGACTCCAAAGTTTTATTCTTGATGGTTTTTAGTCCTATTGCTATCAATAAGTATGTATATATGTATTTAGGTATGCCAAAATATCTAAGCTTCATTGTGATCATAGGTTAAAGTGCCTCATTATAGGAGAAATGTAGATGTCTACCGAAAGCACTGTTAGCGATAAACGAGAGAGAATTTTTAACAGTGCCAGCCTAAGGGCGGACTCCTACCGGTTCATATACCCCCCCCCCCCCTCCCAACTTGGTCCCTCCTTGTCTTCAAATAGAAATAAACCGGTTCCCAATCTTTTCTTTCCATTTTTCGGCAACAGTTTTTCATCCTAAACTAAATTACACTTGATCAAATTTTCTATGCTCATGGCTAAATGACAGCGGGGTGCAATGGTCTTGTGTGTTTTAGACCCAGCTTTATATCAGAGACTGCTCTACGTTCAAGTACAGATAAAACCGCAAGTGTGATTTTGTTACTCTTGTTTGAGACCGATATATGACCATTCCCAACAAAGTCTGATTATTAACATACATTAACATGATAGTAAGAACATTACAATTAAGTATAATGTGCATAATTTATTTGGGGTTTATTGCAAAAACACTATAGTGAAATCTATTATGTTTATTTATACGATGGACTTTCTCATTACTTTGAAACTATTTATATCTCAGAATTAATTGCAACTCACTTTAAAATCATTTGAATTAATAGATACATAATTGAAATTGAATTCAGTTCTCTTTTCGCTTTTCCCGCCGTTCCATCTATTTTTATTTTATTTCCTTTTCTGATCAATGTTATTATTGCCTGCAAGAACTGCGTTAAAGTCATATTAGTAAGATAACTGTCAAAGAAAATGATCCGAATGTGATATTAATGTTGTAATATACTTTTCACTACATTGTTTTTAATGTTTCGGAAAGTTTAAAAAAGACAGTCAGAAAGGATTTTTCAAATTAGCTACCTATCGATACATTGAATAGTTAGTAAAGGAAAATAATATTTGATACATTACCTTGTTGATGTTAGCGGCAGCAAGGCCAGAAAAATCAGGGTTACTTGATACATTATTCCTTAGTAGTCGCGACCAGTGTTTAATTACAAATAAATATTTTGATACAAATGACTTGGTAGTATTCAAGAAGAGATCCCTTTCATTTATAGAGTATTCATAAGACGTATATAATAATCAATCCGACATTATATTGGAAATTGCAGCTGGTAGTCATAGTAGTAGAAGTATTATTCCTTCATAACTCTTATCTGTGAAGTCAAGAACAATTGAAGATGGCACGTCATGTCAGTAACTAACAAATTAAACATGGTCGGTGAAAAGTTATCCGGAGTACTTGAAGATGTCACAAAGGTATAAAGTCTGCCCAAACTTGATGATTTAGAACTCGATCCAAATCACTTTCAGCTTTCTCCAATGGCGGTGTGCTTTATATCGACTTTATAAAATGCCGGTATTTATTGCTAGTCGATTCGATTTGAAGTATACAATAGGAAACAAATCACACAAGAAAGAAAGAAATAGCTTCGCGGATTCTGTCACCTGCGTTAAATCCAACAAAGCTTTCTGATCCAAAAGACTTATATCCAATAAGTTGAGAGGTAGAATTAAGAAACTCGGGGTGGTCGGGCGGCTATAAGAACTTGATCTTTGTCGGCACAGCCGAGGGAACGACTGAGATGAAAACTTGGTTTAAAGTTCCGAGAAATCCGACCGTTTAAGTTAGAGAGGATGAATCTACAGTACGAAATATGAATCTGTGACACAGACGAGAGGGGATTTAGATTAATGTTGATCGCTGATGATGATAATCATTATTTGATGATAATTCAATCCGATCAGTAAAACGATTGGAAATCATTCCAAACAAAAAAAAAGATAGGGAAGGGACAGGAGAAGGAAAAAAAAGTGGCTAGCGGAACATAATACGCATTCTGTGATTGGCTGGATGCGCTGGTGGATGATAGTGTTACGTCACACTGAATTTCGACCAATCAGGGTCTTCGGTTCGGTGAACTTTTACGATGCTTTCCAAGCGATGTCTTTTCTTTCCACGGAATTTCATGCGGGTCCATCTTATTTTACGAGCAGTTGTCAATAACTTGTTAAGTGGGTGTCGTTAATTCAACTTGAGGCTCTTTAGAAGTGAGTCAATTACTGCAAGACCACAGTCCCCCCCCCCTCTCTCTCTCTCTCTCTCTCTCTCTCTCTCTTATCTTTTCTTCATTTTCCTGTTTGTTTCTTCTCGTTCTTAATCTTTTTTTCTCTTCTTCTTCTACTTTATTCTTCTCTTCATCTTACTTTTCTTCTCCTTCTTCTTCTACTTCTTCTCCTTCCCTTCCTCATTCTCCATCTACTTCTTATTCTCCTTCTACCTCTTCTTTCTTGGTTATTTCTTATGCAAGTTTTTCTTCTTAATTTTTGCTTCTTTGCTACTGAACAAATTTCATCTACTTTCCTTCACAGCTCTATACATAATGCCGGTATCATATGTTGTGAGTAGGCGTTCAGTAAAAATTCCATCCACAAACAAACTCATTCTGGTCAAGAGTATAGACATAGATAGATTGAAAGATAGATAGATAAGTAGATAAATAGATATAATATAGATATGTACATGTAGATAGATATATAGATAGACAGATAAAGAAATGTACGTACCAGATTTCCATTCAGGGATCAAGGAATTGTGAACAGCCAAATCTGCCCCAATGTTCGACCCCTTATTTCATTATCTCGTTTTTACCCATTTTAACCGGCAACAGTTTCCATTTTTCCCCCTCTTTCCTCAAAGTCCTCTCTCCGCTACATCCTCTTTTCTTGACGTGCAGCCAGCTCGAGGGTACGAGGCGGATCTCAGCAGCAGTCCCAGCCGCCTCCACCCGGGCTGATTCAGGACGGCTTGCGCCTCGCGGCAACAAGACACCCTGTTCTTTACCAGTACCAGCGTGAGACCGTGTCAATCTTTAGCTAAACGCCACAGTTACACTTCAACACAAGATCCCCTCCCCCAAAACGGGGTTAACTCGATCATTTCAATCGTTCCTTTAATCTTCTCGTCCAACCAATCATTATTTACTTTCGTCTGAAAAGGTCCGAGTGTTCCCTCTTTTTATTATTATTTTCACCCCGCTATTTTGCATATTCTTTGCTGTTTATTGTTGTTGTTGTTGTTGTTCTTCTTCTTCTTCTCCTTCTTCTTCTACTTCTTTTTTTTTCTTCTTATTTTGTATGAAGAACAATACTTTAAAAGCAAAACGAAATACCAAAATTGACAGACAGGATTTTAGAGTTGGATTAATATTTTTCGAGCTAGCCTATTGAGGGAGTTTAGAAAGAACATATTCGTAAGGCCCCCAAGGAAGATCATTATCAAACTAGATGAGGATACTCATGGTGATGATGGTATTATGACCACAATACGATTAATTCTATAAACATTCGTTACAAATTTACCTAAAGTCGAAGAGCATGTTAACTTTTGATTGGTTTAAGTTTATTTTAAAACAATCGTTATCATGTGTTTGATACAAATAATGTGGAGTTCCTATTTTACATTTCTGTATATACCCGTGTGAGTCAAAAAAAAGTTTACACCTAGAAAATTGCTAATTATTTTAAAAATCATTTATGAACAGTAAATTATTATACATCTTATGAAGGAGTGTTTTTGGTACCATTTTTGTGTGGTATGTGTTCACGCTTGGATGAACAGGTGGCATTGTTTGCGAGAGTGCAAAAATCGACTTGCGCCAAAGTGATGCCTACAGTATGTATTATGTTGGGATAAGCGGAGTGAGAGAATGAAATTCATTGCATATGTTTTCTGCAAAGGGCAAAGTCACACACACACCCACACACACGCGCACAGATGTTCGTCGATATTTGATATTCGATATTTGATATGTGTGGCATGATGAATTTTGTTAGGGATGTTATTTGGATCTGCAAAGACCGAATTAATACCCAAATCCCAATTGTTTTATTCAAACATCACATAAGTAACTTATGTCGATTTTTGCACTCTCGCAAACAATGTCTCCTGTTCATCCAAGCGTGAACACATACCACACAAAAATGGTACCAAATGATTTGGGATAAAACACTCTTTCATAAGACATATAACAATTTAATGTTCCACGGTAGAGGTTTACGGTACACCGTGTGTAAAGTCCTAGAAGGACTAAGGAAAGTGGATAGAAAATAGAAGTGAAATAGAAAGGCGAGAAAGTGGAGGTTGGAAGGAAGAGTATCTTTCGGAAGTGAGTATAGTCCTGAACAGGACTGTAAACCAGAGAGTTGTAGATAGGATGAGAGGTTTGAGTAGAAGACTGGATTGAGTTGGAGAGTTGAGTAGAGTTGCAGAGCAGGAGCAGGAGAGTTAATGGCCTGGGTTGCCACATTTAGTTTATGATTGTGGGAACGGACCCAGTTTATCCTTGCCCCAGCGAGAAGCGAGAAGTAGAAACAGCTCCACAAGGGTGGATGTCATGTCCAATGCCATTACGCCTATTATTGATAACAAACAATTATTAATGGGGAGTTAATTTGATTTTATATGGCTCCTTATACTCCCGCCTCCTCCTCCTTTCCCTTTCTTTCTGTATCTACATATTTATCTATCTATCCTTATATCTCTAACACTCTCTCTTTCTAATTCTCTATCTTCATACTGTCTGTGAATCTGCCTCATTCTCCCTTCTCCCTCCCTCCATCCCTCTCTCCCTCATTGTCTCCCTCCTCTCACCTCCCCTCCTCCATCTCCTCTCACCTCCCCTCCTCCATCTCCTCTCACCTCCCCTCCTCCATCTCCTCCTCGACCCCCCCCCCCCTCCCTCTCTAATCTATCACACAGCAAGAGGGAACGATGACTTCCTACTTTATGTCCGATCTCATAACTAATCATCTCGTTTGATTGCAACCATAATACTAACAATATTTCCCTCAGATAGGCGGTGCCATATAAAGTGGACTGACCCCAACTTGACCTGGAGATATTTTCTTTAATAACACATTTTTAAATACACTTAGTCTGGATGAAGGGTACAATATGAAATCTTTGACTGAAATGGGAGAACTCTTTTTTTCTCAGATGTATCAAATAACATTTTCTTTGTATATGAAATGATCATGAACCCTCTTTATTTATTCTTGACAATAATTACCAAAAAGAACTTAATTCATTTTATTACAGTAGAATACATGTTTCTTTGTCCATTACGCATTGTGAAAATATATAATGAATAATTGTATCAAGTTTGTTTATATTCAAATTACATATATATTTATTGCAATGTCAGAAAAGCATACCATTCGACTATTTGTTTCAATTTTGTTCAAGGGTGCATATATTGTTTTCAGATTAAAGCTTGTTAATATACAAATGAAATATTGTACATATATTCTGAATTAAATGCATGAATAAATAAACAGCTTTTATATTATGTTAACAAATTCTAAGCTTTTGACGAAGAACCTTATAATTAAACTTATAGTTCTGCTTAAATTGACTGGCACATAAGCCAGTATAATAATGAAACTGTTGTCTTTTTGTATTGCTTACATCCAAATGTGAGAAAAAATATGTAAATATTTCGCAGTCATCATTTACAGCAAACGGCTACCGGTACGTGTCTGTATTTTATTATCGTCATCATTTTTATATGTATTTTTGGCGCGAAATTAATCTCGTTAATAAAGTGAAAGTAGTGTGCTATAGACAGCAGGAGGTGCATATCTTATGATGGCTGGTCAAGTATGGGTGGGCCATGGATATTACATCTTCAGAACTGATGTGTTGCAAAATCACTAGGTTTTCTTTTTTAATTCTGTCTCTGCTTCTCCTTCTCTCTCCCCGTCTCTCCCCTTTCTCTGTCCGTCTGTTTCTCTTCCTCTCCCTCCTTTCCCTCTTCTCTATTCTGCTCTATCATCATCATCATCATATTTGTTGATCGTCAAGATTTGTGTTGCTTACGTACATTGCTGGCGCTTCATTGCCATCTCGATCTCTATTCCTACTTCACTCGCTTCTTTTGTCTCTCTTCTTCACTCTCTCTCCTCTCCCTTTCCCTGTCTATCTCTCTCTGCTCTCTCTCCCCTCACCCTTTACACCCCCCCCTCTCTCTCTCTCTCTCTCTCTCTCTCTCTCTCTCTCTTCAGTCATTCTACTTTTGAGCTGTACATGATTATAAATACTATATGAGAGAGTATAATAGTTTAGAATTTGATAAAATATAGAATCATTTATATACTTGATTTGCAGCAATTTCACAATTTCAAATGCAACCATCATTCGATGATACAACGTATACACATTTTTATCGCTTTACAATCAAATATCTACAGTCCTAATCATATAATCCCTGATTTTTTTCCATGATATTATCAAAAGTATAATCACCTTTTTTAAATTAACTGATATCATACAACAATCTTTGAAACCTACCAAAGTTGAATGTTTAGGGCAGCACCAACATCATATTCTGTACTACTTTCAAACATTAAGATTGTTTGGTATACATCTACATCACATATATTATTTCAGATTTGATCCTTAGAAATCCACCTTAACATTCCTCATATCTATTTATACATATAAGTGTACTAATGTCAATTACAGGCGTGATTAAGTCAATACTTTGAGCTGTACAAATATCTCTGGGAAATGCAAAATATACATGTATCATCACTCATGTATAATATTGGGACTACTAACAGCTCATAATGCTTTTACTTTAAAGAATTAATTTCATTATTATATCATTGATCACCTGACAGGTTAATCTGTTATTGTAAATACATTTATGATAGATTTTTGCACAAACCAGTGAAAATAAAATGTTCAAACAAAAAGTAAAATCAATGTTCATAAACAATGCAAATATATCATAAACATGAAAAAAACATAAAGCTTTATCTTATTCAAGTTCACTAATAACACATGTGATAAAATATATATCTACTAAAGTAACGCACGTAGTGCACAGATAGTGCTGAGTTGATGGAAAAAACATACCGTAAGTCATACCTTAAAATTTTCTACAGAAAATATTCAAACAATCCTTTCTTTCCTCACACTAACAAAATTGTTGTCCAATATTTCAACATCTGACAACCAGGAGGTAGATTATCATCCAACACTATATATATAAGTACATGTACATATATTCATGTACAATCAAGAAATTAATGAAGTATTTTATAAAACACAATCTCATCAATATTTGAGCTACATGTACATGGTTTTGCACAATAAACGTTAACAATTTGTTATTTTGTTCATTGTTTTCAGGTAGTAGCATATTGCTCATGAAATGATTAACAAATGATGCTAAAGGTGGGAATATTGTAAACCACTTTCATGACGCATACAACTTATAATTTCTAGGTTAACATGATATTAACCTAATAATTTTTAAAAAAATATATTCTCCTTTTTCATCGCACGCATTTGTGTTTATAAACAACGAACATTTCAATAACCAAATACATGTACACCATGTAAAATCTTACACCATGTAAAATCTTACATCATCTATGGATCACTGTAGTGAATTTTTAACATGTTACCATGGTAATACCTGACTATGATAATATACTCAGTTAACAGCGCTATTCTTTAATTGGTCCTTCAATTCAATGAATAATAATGCTATTTACCATGGCAATGATTTATAATCTTTGGTAAGGCATTAATTTTCATCAGGTTAATCAGGTTAATCAGGTACAACATAAAGCCATCACTGATCAGTCATCCTGTTTGATACCAGAGCAGTGTTTCACAAAACCGTCCTAAGTACAAGTTCGACAGCAACTCATAAAAACCATATCAATTTAACACATGTTTCAGTGGGATGTCGGTGAACTTCTACTTCAGACAGTTTCATGAAATGATGTCCTGCTTTCTTTAGTAGCACCCATGCAACATAATCAAAGCATTGCCTTCTGGAATTGATCCTTGAGCTCCTGCTTGGCTACCGATGCGAGATGGACCTCATCAGGACCATCGGCAAGACGGAGAGACCGGGCCCCAGCATAGTACCTTGCGAGAGGGAAATCATCCGATACACCTCCACCACCATGGATCTGGATAGCTCGGTCTATAACCTGACACGCCATACGTGGTACAACGATCTTGATCATAGCAATCTGAAATAGATGTCAAGTATAGAATTGAGATGCTATTCCCTTGGATACTACCTAGTGTTATGATGCTCATAACCTTCATAGGCTTTTTGCTCACTGATTAATTCTTTGTAGATGGTCAAAGTAATAATAACAAATCATAATAACAACATTTATAATGCGCACATATCCACCCCAAGAGATGCTCAAGGCGCCTAATAAGGTAAATACATTAAACATAAGAAAGTACATGAGAACATACATAGAACGAAAACAAATTATTGAATACAAAGTTTTAGTGGAGGATAGATAAACAGACTGGCTACACTCGAACCAGGTGGAGTAAAAGGGTACCTGGTAGCGCTACTCCCAGATATATACTCTGCAGTAATGACAGTATCAGGAGAGGGGGCACAAGCAACCCATGCTCCCCTCTTTAGAATCCAGTTGGCAAACCTGAAGTGCACAAAGAAATAAATGTTGCCCCCATTTCAGATTTTCAACCTGAAAGACGCCAGCAAATTGTGACAACCATATTCATTTTTTGTTTTTTTTTGTTTTTGTTTTGTTTTGTTTTTTGTTTTTTTTTTGGGGGGGGGGCTGATTATCAGAACTGAGCCCCCTTCCCCTTTTTTGACAATCCTGGATCTCCCCCTGACATCAGAGTTATATCCATGTAATATACTTACCTCTTTTCTTGCTTTCTTGGAGCCATACTTGTCATGCATATGAGCTGCCTTCAGGACCAGTAGTCTAGCCATGTCTATCTCAATACGACTCTCTGCTACCTGGTGCTGTATCACTTGCTACACAGACAAAGCAAGCAAGCAGAAGAAAAGAAATTGAAAGTTATTTGTCTTGTCAGAAGTCTACCGCTATACAATTCTCATGAAATAGCTGTCCTATCCCATGATTCTGTGTGAAAATTATGTTCTATTCCCATAATCATATGCTTGGGAATATAACTTAGAAGGTACAAATTCTTCAGTGACTATTGTAAAACAACAACTTGTCAATACTTGCCATATACAATCTGTATATTCCCCAGGACAATGTTGTGGGATGAAGCTGCCGTTTGATTTTGCTTGTACTTAATGATATGTACCGCTGTCTATTTTAGAATTGTAGTACTTTGTTATTTTATGATGTAATTGCACACACATGCACAGCCCAATTGAGTTAAGTTTCTCTTTATAAGTGAACATGCCTTCCTATACTTGATTCTCTTCTAATTTTTTCTCCAATTTAATTTTTTTTCCTTTCCTATACCTATTATACAATATGTAATTTTCATAATAATATCTATAATGTTCTCTCAGTAACTGTGTTAACTTATTATGGGCGTTCCCAACTCAAGCTATGCTTTTCGGGTTTTCGTCTCCTTCCGTATCTGAATTATATACTGTACACTCTATGTTGAAATTATTGTTACATATATCATGTATATATACATTGTGTTTCATATTGTACTGTTGAGAAGGAAATAAATGTAAATAAATACAAAAAATACAAAAAATATATGTGACAAATAAATTGTTACAAACTGCACAAATTTGGTTGGATAATTCATGTTATATGCAGCATTCAACTCTTGATTCTGGACCTTTCATTCATCTTTTAAAGTTTCTGGTTTCTGGTAATGCATTGAAGAGTTAAATTTTGAAGTTTCCCTGACTGAAGTCACGGTCATGCTCAGGAATCCATTATCACATGTGCAATAATGAAAATAACCGCTAATCAGTCACACAAGTTGACAAAGCTACATCTTCAAAACCCACAGGTCTCTTAGCAAATCTTTAGCGATTGAAAGCCAAGAAATGTCTCATGAAATAGGCACATGGAGGTCTAGATCAGTCAATTTTAAAATGCCTTATCTTCCAAAATATAAAGCATTATATCTTTGATCAATGAAATCCTGTTCAGTGATTGGTCAACATAGCATCATGTGACCAAACATAACATTGCTATGATGTAAATGTGACGTCATAGTGCACTATACCATGGCACTACATCATGGATGACGTCATATATATGCGATCGATCAAGATCAATATGTTATCAGTCGCGGTCGCAGTACTGTCGTCTGCACTGCTCTCACTGCACTTTACACTACTTCAGTGACAGTAAACATTATTATTATCATTATCATCATTAAGGTTCAAAAAATATAAAACAAATATCTCATGCACTATTTCAAGCCGCTAGTGAAATCATGGATTCCTCGGCGACAGAAATAGTGCTCTTCCTGCCACCTTGATCCATAATTTCAACTAGAGCCTCTCAGTGCATGGAATATTTGTTTAATATTGCAGGTTGTACTATCTCACCATTTTGTTAAGTTTCCTCCCGAATGCTACCCTCTCGTCCGCCCTCTGACACATCAGCTCTAGCGACCTCTCTGCCATCCCCAGTAATCTCATGCAGTGATGGATCCTACCCGGTCCTAGTCTACCCTGGGCGATCTCAAATCCTCTTCCTTCACCTAGAGAGTGAGAGGAAAGAACATGGCAAAGGGTTATACAGAGCAACTATCTCACACAATGATACACTCTCTGAAGTCCTAAACTATTCAGCGTGATTCTATAATACATTTTCTGTTGAAGGTTGCTCAAAGTTAAAACCTGGGTTGCTCCTAGCTTAAACCCTAGAGCAATACAATACAGAATTGCAACCCTACCCATAGGCAGAGATAAATGATGTATAGAAAACAACATAGGCAAAGATACATACACAGATACATAATAGTTCAAAAATTACACAATGCAACAACAATAAATTGACAAATTAAAACAAAATTCCTGGAACAAAAGTTCATATCAATCTTACCTAGTATAATGTTGGATGCAGGCACTCTAACGCTGTCAAATCTCACTTCAAAATGCCCGTGTGGTGCATCTGAAAGCGAACAGGAAATTGGGTTTTGCAAGTAAATATTCTAAATGGTCTTCTATAAACATTGTAGAATCAGGCAGCAACTTTAAAAATGTTCATAATCATATTACATATGCACTTCAAAATACAATACACCAATGCATCATCCACCACTAGGTTCGTTTCCTAGTTATACTGAACTCCTGATGCCTAAAATCTATTAGATATATTTGTAATAAATGACAACGGGTCTAACAAAATAATGATTGTCACTTATCAACCATGCCAATCTAATGGGAGAGAGGCACAACAACACTGTTGTAACTGCATGGAATTAAAACACATCTGCATCACTTATCAACTTGCTAGTAGCTTACCTACGCTCCCAAACACTGATAGAGGGCGCACTTTAACAAAACCTGGTGCATCAGTTGGAATGATGATCATACTGTGTTGCTTATGTCTGTGAGATAATAAAACAATGACGGAAACCAACATACATCAAAGAGCATTTAACATGGATGCTGTCTATGCATATGCTCACCTAAATTTGCAAAACACAGAATAAGAGAAAACACAAGTGAGTAGTATACATTGCTTACATCTTTCAATTAAAGCTTATATTGCAGAACAATTATTATGGAATTGGTGAACTAAAACACATTTTCAGTCATAAAATCCATGACCATGGCTAACTATTAAACAGAAAGATAAAAATCACAATATTAACTACTCACGTGGAAGACTCCTTGTTTCCAGTCCTACCCATTACTATGGCAACGCCTAACCTTGGATCACCAGCACCTGAAAATCACAGAGACAGACTTAACTATGACGATCCGGCTATAATTACATTTTTATTTGAAATGGATCACATGCTATACTGCAACACAGTTTGGAGTGTACATACTGCATGGGTGACACATGTAGACTGTGGCAGTCCAATATCTGTTCCATTATTCAACAAAAAAATGAAAAGAGTTTAAAAATAGATTGCTCTTTAACTTAATGCATTACTGGGACTTCTTATATATCTTATTATGAAAGTGCATATGTCTCTGTTATCTTTAGAATCTACTTCCCATCCTCCATTTTCTATGAGTGGGACTTACCACTGCTCCACCACTTCTTGCCATTGATGACATACTCATCTCCCTCCCTGGTGAAGGTACACTGCATGTTAGTAGCATCACTAGAAGCAACATCAGGTTCTACCAGAAAAAGATAAACAAATGGAGGAAACAGGATCATCCTTTCATATGATTCTGAAGTAAAATGTGAAATAACACAAACAAATGATGTAGATCAGTATGTTTTAACAGTGCAGGAGAAATGCAACAAAGAAAATAGGCATAGCTGTACATTCCTTTATATAGTAAATTCCTAGCAAATAGGGTAAATAGGGAAAACAAAACACCAGGTATTACTGTTGAAAACACATGAAAATGTTATACACAAGGTCATTTTTGTGTGTGACATATTCATGTACCCATCGTATATGACATTAGTTCAGTCCAAATATGAGCACCCAGATAATCTCAGGTAAACCTGTATAGAGCTGGTTCGCTATAACCAAAATGTCTAAATACTTGGAGGTTTCTACTTTGGATTACATTTTATCCCTAAATTTAGGTAACTAATGTTGCTATTTACCGGTCATACAGTAGCAGGATCTGATGCGACCCTCTAGCAAAGGACGGAGCCACTTCTCCTTCTGTTCTGGAGTGCCATACAGGTGCAGTACCTCCATGTTACCGGTATCTAAAGAGGAAAAGTACGATTCATGGACAATAAAATTGGGGTTGCAACAATGATTCATAAAGTATTAACAACAACATTATTCATCCTGATTAATCCGGATTCAAATAGCACTTAATATGAAATAAGTGCTATACAGAATACATGTATCATTATCCTGATGACAATATATCTCTTCACTTCCTACATTACATTCCTATGATATGATCACCATCAGGACAAATATCAGTTACGGTCACCATGGCTTTGTACTCTCCAGGGTATGGGGTGGCAGGCTTTCTCGCACACAATGTATCCACATTCTCCACTCCCTGGAGAGCATTCCAGCCAGGCATCATTTTTACAAGCGCACACTTGCTCATCTAACCACATTAACTTTCGCATCCTGATGACAATATATCTCTTCACTTCCTACATAATATTCCTATGATATGATCAACTTCAGGACAAATATCAGTAACAGACACCATGGCTTTGTACTCTCCTGGGTATGGGGTGGCAGATGTAGATTAATGTTTTCCCAAATGGCTACCATGCAGGGACTCAAATCTGAGACCTTCTCGTCTATAGAAACATCTACTAAAACACCTCTACTGCCCCTTTATCCATCTGGATCACAAGGGGTGCTCAAGGCTTGCCCAATTTATTGCAAAATGAGTACTAAATATCTACTACCATTTCACAGTGAAACTTAATTAAGTGGTTCTTGCAAGATGAAACCAGTTCCATCTGGTATAAAGCACACAAACCTGGAGCAGCACAGTTGAATGGTTCTGATCCTAATGGAGAGCGTCCCATCTGTTCTGCCATGTATGCATACTCTAACTGGGTTAAACCGGATTCAGATGGTAGGAACAGGTTCCATAATCCTGCTGCTTTAGCCTTTGCCTGTATGAGTGTTTTAAAGTGATTGAAATAGATGAATATTGCAATAGGTTGATATAATTGGAGGAGGTGCGATTGCTCATTAGTAGAGCAGTGGTCTTGTAACCGGGAGGTCCCAGGATCGAAACCAAGTCAATGTGCTTGCTCCCTTTGGTAAGGCATTAATACTCATTACCAAGTCCCTCTGAGAGAACTTATAACTGTTGGTCCCCTAGTTGCTTCCTTACGAGCCTACACATTTTTTCTTAGCAGTCAAGTAAAATCATCATCATCAAAATTATTGAAGAGTGAGGAAAATTTGCTTTCGGATAATTAAATGGATCATAAAAGAGTCTTGAGCAAATAAGCACATCACGGCTCAATCTTGCTCAATCCATACTTTGGTCACAAACAGGCATGTTAAAGAGGGGACAATCGGTCACATCCCCAGCCCCAGAGGCAAAAGATAATCATGAAAAACATGCATTTTCAGGCTTGAGGAGGCAGCCCCCCCCCCCCCCATCCCCCACCCTTTGGAGACTGCAATCGAAAAAGAAGTCTCAGGAAAGACAATTACCTAATCCAAATGTCACCCTACACGTGATCAAATCCTCCACCATTGCTACAGAATAAATGTTGGAATAGCAAATTTCCTCACCACTTTACATTAGCATGTGGTGGATAATTGGCAAAGCATGGACTACTACGACAGAGACTCACCTTAAGTTCTTCCATGACAGGTGGTATGGTCCATGGATCCTTAGCAGTTCTGACATGATTCTCATACACCTGAATAAAAACAGAATAAAAAATAATCAATTAGTTAAAATGATTTACTGTCATTTCCTATTGGTCATACTTCTTCCATCACAATTTATCTCAAGATCTGAAGAGACAAACATTGTGATGTTCTTTTATACATTGCTAGGTAATGTTTGTGTCATCAAATTTGTAATCTATCAAATTGTATCATGGCTGTTGAACATTCATACATCATACACATACAACCATAGCATACATGCAAGTTTTATTCTAACTTAAAATCCAATCAGCCATTACATCATTAACCACTGTTAAAAATTTAAAAAAACAGGCATGGCAAAAAATATTAGGTGCTGTAAAGAAATAGAAAAGAAGCAATGTTGTGGGGGGGGGGTAAAGAAATATAAGCAGCAATGTTCCAGCTCTTAGATGTGTGGTACAAGATAAAGAAATGCCAAGCATGTTGCATTTTTCTGCAGAGGTTTTTCTGAAGCAGTTTACCGCCTCATGCCAATGAACCCAAACAAACCATGAGGTAATGCCCAATAGTATACAAAATATAAATTCTTGGAGTTACTGACTTTATTATTATCACAAACAAAGACACTTTTCATCCATGTAATGATAATAATAATAATTAAAGGCATTTCTATAGCGCCGTCTATCCAGAAATTCTATTCCGAGCGCATTATTTATTACCCCGGCTTTAGCCTAGCTGCCATTACAGCGATCTAGCATTTCAAGGAATTAAATCCTGCCAAGTACCCATTTACCTCACCTGGGTCGAGTGTGGCAAATGAAGATTAATACCTTGCCAAAGGACATTAGTGCCGTATCGGGGATCGAACCTAGACCTTTGAATTGCAAGTCAAGTGCTTTAACCACTCGACTATGACACTTCTATGTAAATATCTGGACTCACTGCTTCTGCTGGGATGATCTCCTTCTTGACAAAGTCCTTGACCTTCTGTAGCAGGTCCCTCCCTCTCCCTGATAACGGCTCCATGGCTAGGGCAGGGCTGATGTCTTCACTCAAAGAAATCCTTGAAATCCCTGATCCCTTGGGTGGTGACACGGATCTGAAGTGGAAAATGTGAAATAAGATTAATTTGCCTCCAAGACAAAGAGAAAGATACATTCAGAAGCAGTCAGAGAGTAAGACAGACAGACAGACATACAGACAGACACAAGGGCAGTCAAGCTAACAGTCAAGTAGATAGGAAGGCTGACAATGACATGGAATTGTGACACAATATCGTTGTCATCTTCTTAAGACATGCAAGGTAGAGAATTTTCCTTTATCTGAATCAGAGCTTTTAAATTCATTTCAAGCACGGTATCATCCCCCAATTGAAAAGAGAAACATATATTTGGCAATGTCAAATGGGTAAGAAAAATAGAATTCCTTGGGGTAGAACTCTATAAGTCAAAGAAAACAACATTTCCATTTAATTCAAGACATTATCTGACACTGAAGATTACCTAAAAGAAGACCAGAATGAACAATATTTTGGATGTCATGTTGTTTATTTTCTACATGTTTGGCAAAATGTATGCACGATTGAGATAATTAGATCTTTTAAAACTCACTTAAAAAGAAGTTGCAAAGTAGATCAAAAATTGCAAAATATGTAGTGGAAATAAACTAACCCTTTAGCTATAAGGAGACTAGCATCAGAAAGTTGCTTTGCTACAGCTCCTCTCGCTTCAGCTGTTTCAGAGCTAGCATTACCTAGCTTTGACCTTGCATACACACCCTAGTAGTACAGCAAAGAAAGAAAACAAAACCTGATCAAATAATCAAACGTGAACTAACCCTTTTGCAATTTGAAGACCAGAATCAGAGCAAAGTATTGCTACATGTCCTGCAGCTTCAGCTGACTCAGAACTGGCGTTTCCTAGCTTTGATCTGGCATAGACACCCTAGTAATACAGATAATAGGAGAGCAGCAATGTAAACAGTGTCTCAATATGAGGGGCAAAGTCCATGTGGGTATGGGATGTGTTCACATATTTCTCACTAACAGGTGCCGAGGAGGAAGAAGAAGTGGAGGGAGGCAGTGTCATCATGGTGTGAAAGTCAGAAACCCCTCATAAGGGGGAAAATGTTGACTTTAATCAATGATGAGGTTAAATTTGAAAGACACTCAAAGATATAAATCAAAGGAAACAGTACAATGCAAAAATTATCAAGGTTTTTGTTTGAAGAAAAAAATCTGAATGAACAAGTGGGTTATTTGACTGTACTAAAAAGAACTAGTAGTCTGGAACACAGAGCAAACATTCTGTTGTTTGCCCAGGGTAAAGTTCATGATAGATGCAATCACACAAACACAATCAATAAACCATTTCAGGTCTATCCAGGTCAGCTAGAGCATCATACAGTATGTGTGTGAAAGTTCATGATAGATGCATTCACATGAAAACAATCAATACCAATTCAGGTCTGTCCAGGTCAGCTAGAGCATCATCCAGTATGTGTGTGAAAGTTCATGATAGATGCATTCACACAAACACAATCAATACCATTTCAGGTCTTTCCAGGTCAGCTAGAGCGTCATCCAGTACGTATGTGAAAGTTCATGATAGATGCATTCACACAAACACAATCAATACCATTTCATGTCTGTCCAGGTCAGCTGGAGCATCATCCAGTATATGTGTGAAAGTTCATGATAGATGCATTCACACTCACACATAAATGCAGTGAATAACATCCTGGTCTGTCCATGACAGTAGATACTGTCCATGTTTTATGGTATGTATGTAAGAGTTCATGGTCAAGTGTGAATAAACCCTAAATGATATGAAATGCAGATCAAGATTATCAAAAGTGTGTTTAACATAAACAAATTAAATCTATATGGGCAGTCAACCTATGGTTCTGGCAACACAATAGTTTAACCTGCAATTCAAGTCATATTCACATAATTATTATACCATAAAATAGAACTGCCAGATGGACCTTTCAGAGGAATTTCATACCTCAATAAGTTACTTCACTCTCATATTTGAACTCACTTCACAGATAGATGCTGCCCTGAAATAAGCCAGTGCCAGATAAAATTGCCAGTCCTGGATAGGGTAAGGCACCCCCGTATGGGCACAGTAGACCTTCATGTAATCCTCCCTCTTTGGTATCCCTGGTACAGCACTAAACTGAGTATCACCACCACCAGCTGGTAAAAACAAATCACACATAAAATAAAGTTTTCACAATTGCAATCTATTTAATGCAGTCTAAATCCTAATATATCAATGTATTTGGTTTCTGTACTTACAGTTTTTGTTACATTTTTGTTATTTCTATCTGTTATAATTTTGTACAGTACTTTTATTTTGTTGAATTTCCTTGTACGTTTACTACATTGCTGTGTTTATTGGTTGTTTTGTATGTCTTATTGACATTTTTATCAAATTGTGGAAATAATCAATTGAATTGAATCAAATGTCATAAGTTTGTCACCTGTTGAAGCTAACTTGTTACATTTCTGGGTTTTACATACTCTTAAGACAAATAAAAAAAATCTTTGAAACAACTGATACAACAATAAAGACTCTTGTCCAATAATGGAAGGAAAAAACAATGAGATGCATAGTCAACTTTTTTCACTAAAAAAATATGCCAGTCTGAGGTTTTGATCTATAGTGAGATAAGTGAGCATAACACATACAATGTATGTTCAAAAAAACATTCCTTTGAAACGTGAGGCACTGGCAACTAAGAACTCATATCATCAATCATTAACGGTTTTAAAAGATATTTTTGTTGGAAACTGGACATACCTATTGGATTGCCCGCTCCGCTGTTCATGTTCTCAGGCCAGTAGTATGCAGCACAGTTATAAGCCAGATCAGTCAATGGATCACCCAGGGTTGACAGCTCCCAGTCAAGCACTGCAATTATTACAGGCTACAGGATGAAGAAGTGTTACATGGAAAAGGAAAAGAAAGTTTATCTGTTGGGTGATTTTTTTTTTTAGGAAAGCATCTCCTTGACATCAACTGTTTCAAGCCATTCCTAACAATATGCATTATCTCTACACATGAAAAAATGGTAGAAAGCACAATCACCTTTTTCTACTATACATGTAAGGAGTTTCTAGGATAATGCAATTGCATGTAAATGAATGTCAAGCTTTTTTTTAATGTTATATGTCAATGACAAAGATTTCCTAATCTCTTGGTCTTCAAGCATACATGTAAGATATTTCTGATAATCGTTGTCTTTCCTGTAAGAGCAAGAATGATAGAAAGAAGAAATGGTTCAAACTAAAAATATTTTTGATGATTTCACAGTTGTGTAGGAGTGCATTTCTATATCAAACCATAGCTTAGGAATAAACCACATGGATGCAGGCACTTCTTATCCCGACTTAAAATGAAATTCCATAGCCACAAATCTTAATTCCCTTACTCTATCTTTCTAACATCTTGGTTCTGAGAAAAAAAACTTTGACTATGCCTACTGAAGAAAACCTAAACCCCAATTAATTACCTTTCATGTGAATGGCAATCCTCTCCTTATCTGACTTTCCATTAACTACCAAAAACACAAATAGAAACTCTTATGGCTCTTTTGAACATTGTTGGCCTGGGACAGCAACTTGACTTTACTGACTATGCCTACTGAAGATAACATGAACCCTGATTAATTACCTTTGTAGGATGAAAGATCATATTCTCTAGTCTGTAGTCTCCATGTACAATGCTGGTCCTCTCTGTGTTCTTGGGAATGTTGTTAGGCAGCCATTCAAACAGCTCTGTAGCAGATGGAACCTCTGGTAAAGAGGCTATCTTCATTGCACCCTGGAACTGTTTTGTCCAAGTGTTTACCTGAAAGAAGATCGTAATATAGCCACTAGCAACTACTGTTCATGATACTGAACTTCACAACCCAAGAACCAATTCTGGAATTTAAGAAGACAAAACAAGCTTTTCTTTGTCCTATTAAATACATTGTACTGATACAATATAAATATTTAGGCAGTACTTAGTTTAGGAATAAACTAGATTTCTCATATATCATAGAGTGAGAACCTCCAGTAGTGTTACACCAGGGCCCTGTAACATAAACAAATTATGATTAATTGTATCTCCCCAAAATTAATCTCCTTCAATCAATCCTAAATTTACAATAAGGCCTACAAAAAAAAGATGTTGTACTGCCCTTGGCGACCAACCCAAAAATCTTGAAATCTACAGTCAGCTTTTTAAAAAAAGTTTGTTTTTCTTTACTGTTTTTTAAGAGAAAAAAAATATTAAAGCATTCAAAACTAAGAACTAGCAGCCCAAAAAGGGAGAAGAAAAAAAAGAAAAAAAAAAGAAAAAAAAAAGATTTCTGACCGACCGACCCATGTTTGGCACCTATAGGGCAATACAACATCTTTTTTCTTAGGCCTAATCAGTAACCTGCGATACATTTAAGTTACAGATCTAGATACCGGTACAGTGCATGGTAGGATACATAGCAAGATTAGAAATACCCGGTATTTTCACAATTGATTGTAAAATAGATTTAATGTTATATGTCTCAAGATTCAAGTTTGAGTATGTAAGACACTCACCTGCCTCCTGCAGAATCCTCCCTCCTTCCCGTAGCCTTGGAGACCAAACTTCTTGAAGTCCAGACTATGGAGATGGGCCAAGGTGTTGATCATAGCAAAGTAAATATCTTTCCTCTCAGCAGGAGAAAGTTCAGGCAAGGCTATGTCTCGGAAGATACGACCCTATAATAGTAATTGAAATGAAACAGCCAAGGACATTTGTAGATAAGGGAAAGAATAAGAAAACACTGTATGTTTGGAGCCAGAAGGCGCTAGCTCATATACAGTTACCTTATTTAATGCCCTTCTGACTCCAAACAGATAATAGGTCATCTACATCCCTGGCTTAATCTTCAAATTGTCTGGGACCTACTTGTAGCTGCTTGATGAAGATCTAAAATAGAGTTCAATGGAATGTTCTGAACTTGCTAGAGGTTAAAGGGCATGTTCCTTGGAAAATTATGTGCTGCACAGTTTAAAACGAAAAATAATATATTCATCATTTTTCATGATTTATGGTTCAAATATGATTGTGATTCCCTAAATTCCTACCCCTGTCCACTAAAAAAATTCAAAGTATCCCTGGAAACATCCCTGAAGTTGATTTATCCTGAGATTTCTCTGACAATGATGTAATTATGTATAAAGATGAAAATGTAGCTTCATACTCACTCTAACATGTTCCATGACATAAAACTCTGTCCCAATTACTGATGCATCTTTACAATGAGCTACTGGCTTGGGTACTGGGAAACCTGCACTGTATAGGGCTTTCTGAATCCGATACTCTCTACCAACCTGAAATCAGAATTACATCATACACAATAGCATGTGACAATTAATTACAAATTAATCACGGTATTTTGTAGGATAACTAAAGCATGTTTATGATTTATCTAACAAATTTGAATAAGGTACATTTGGGAGTGATTAACTTTGAATTTTAGATAAGATCTCATTATTTTTCTATCCCTATCCCCCACCCTCCCCCCCCCTTTCCTAATCAATAAATAAGGTGACTGAAATTATTCATACCTGATGAGCTCCTCTGAGAAGCTGTCCAGGTGGCTTCTTCCTCATCACTAACTCTCTCCCATCTTTCTTCAGATAAAAGGTCGGGTTAGACTGACCAGACCTGTGGGTTTGATGAATTGAATGAATCTTGGAAAAATGATTTGCTTTAACATTTTAATACACTTTTAACGATTCCAAAACATAGATATAGATCTATGAAGATTTGTAATACAAAATTAATAGACCCCTCCCCCCCCCCACCCACACACACACACACACACACAAAGCAGGCAGGGCCGGGTTTAGACCGAATTTTCCGTCTCTTTCGTTCGTTAGCCTCTTATTGGGGTAGGGTCGGCTCTCTCTTTAGAGACGGAAGCCGTTTATACACATGTCCTTGCTAACGCCACGGCCAGTCCTGGTCGTAGCGTTTTGCCCCCAAAATCCCCCAAAATGTCATTTTACCTCGAGCATGTTATATTGTAAATTAGGCCTAGGCTATAATAAATCAGTTCCACTTACCAACTTGACTGAAATAATCAGTTTAATAGTCCCTTTTTAGGAAATTATGGGTCAAAATCGGAATCCATGTTGAAAAAGATTTTCAAAATGGATTTCGATTTTGACCCATAATTTCCTAAAAAGGGACTATTAAACTGATTATTTCAGTCAAGTTGGTAAGTGGAACTGATTTATTATAGCCTAGGCCTAATTTACAATATAACATGCTCGAGGTAAAATGACATTTTGGGGGATTTTGGGGGCAAAACGCTACGACCAGGACTGGCCGTGGCGTTAGCAAGGACATGTGTATAAACGGCTTCCGTCTCTAAAGAGAGAGCCGGCCGACCCTACCCCAATAAGAGGCTAACGAACGAAAGAGACGGAAAATTCGGTCTAGGCCGGGTTTAGTCACATCTGCAACGGCAATGTGGCAGACACGATCACCAGCACACAGAATCGCACAATGACACGGCCGTTTTGAACCAGGGGAACGTTTCATGAAAGTTCACCGACATCCCTTTGAAATATTCAATGGGAGGTCGGCCGTGTCGTGAAACGATGCCCAGGCTTCACGACGCGACGGTATATACCCACAAAATCTCGGCGTGTGTACATGTCATGCACAGCTACCGGTTCGGCCAGCGCCAGCGGCTGTAGCTGCAGGGCGCCAGAGCAGAGTGCACCAGCAGCCGCAAGATCAAACAGAGGCTGGGTCTTACTTATATTGTAGGACTTCAAGCTTTGAAGGTCCTTGAGGAAAGCCTTCGACGTTCTCCTTAAGATACACATGCAGGTGATCCTCATCAAATCGGTGCTGTTTTCGAACGTTACTCGCGTCCATGGCCATATTTGTCGTCAACTTTTTGGATAAAAGTGGGCGGTGCAGAGATCAGCTGGAAAACGTGCAGCCTGAAAATACGCAGCATTTACATTATACGGTGTCTTCAAAAGAACAGATGAAAAAAATCAACACCTTAGAGTTTCATATCCGATTGACGAATGGATAAAACTAATTGAGATAAATATTAGACGAAATGCAATGAAATGGACAATGCTTTGATGGGATATACGTTTAATATGCAGGAAAATATAGATTACTTGATATTTGATGAGGTAATCCCTGAAGCAGCTTTTAGATTTATATCGACTAATGTCCATGCAAAACAATGGATATCAAAGCAATGGCAAACAAATTTCAGCCCTGATCTCAGGTACTTTTTATGGTTATTCAAGATTTAAAAAACAAAGGAACTAATATTTCTCATTGACGGGATCTAGAGTGCAAAGCGTGTTGTAAATGTTTACACTTAAAATACTGTTAAATATGAGGACATTCAATACTGTGTAGAAAACAGAAAAATAAATAATGTACCTGCTACCTCGATTACATTTACCATTTCTACTACCTCTACTACCTGCTACTTCTTGAACTTTGACTGCCTGTACTACCTACTACTACTAGGCCTAACAATAAAAATGAATGTTGTATTGCCCTTTGCGACCGACCCAACATTTTTGAAATCGACGGTCAGTTTTTTTTCTAATTTTTTTTTTAACCGTTGTTTAGATGAAAAAAATGTATTAAAGCATTCAAAACTGAGGAATATCAGCCCAAAGAGGGAGTTTAAAAAAAAAAAGATATCCGACCGACCGACCCATGTTTTGGCACCTAAAGGTCAATACAACATCTTTTTTTAGGCCCTATCTCCACTTCTAGCTCTATTAATTCTACTACCTCCATCACCCATTCCTTCTACCTCTGCTACCCTACTATGTCCACTACATTCTCTCTCTCTCTCTCCCTCTCTCTCTCTCTCTCTCTCTCTCTCTCTTCTGTCTGCCTGGAAAGAAGTTTGAGCTCAATTTTTTTTTTAAGGTATTTTAAATTTCATTCCTATTAATTTCCTAGGTAAAAGACAAGGTGTACAATTGATGCTCAGACAGCATTACATAGCCCATCTGCTGAGAGCCAGGGAGGGGGGGGGGGAGGGGCAGGGGGTCACTCATATTCTTTAAAGGCACACTGTCCTACTTGTAGCTACTTGCTACCTCTATATAGAAAACTTCCCCAATCGGTGCCTGTTGGTACCCAATAATCCTCTTTTTCTTATGTTGAATGAGAGCTGAGTTAATGAGATAGCCACCTGTCACAGTGACCTCGATGGCTCACTGGGCGGTCTAATCCCTTCTGGCTGAAGTAGTAAAGTCTACCTTTAACATTAGAGTGAATTTTCAAGCTTGTAGCAGACATAGGGAAAGTTGTCATTAAAATCATATTAAAACAAATTGTTATGCCATTATCAGATGTAAATGTTACTGTTTTGTTTGGAAGTGAAAACATGATGAAAGCGGGTTTTACATTGTACATACACATTCAGACTTTGTATTAAATCTTTAATTATCAAAATCATATCCTATCATATTTATGCAATGAAAAATGATGGAAACCATTTTGAACTGTTATAAAAAAAAATGATAATGATCATCATCTCGGCTGATTCTGTAACATCCATTACAGGTATGAAGCATATCAATGTTAATGGTAAGGGAAAGAAATACATGAGAGACAGAGAGTTGTGGTTTTAATGTGTTTTAATTAATTTCCAATTAAACAACATATGCTACAACAAAAATAGCATATAAGATGGATAAAAATCCGAAGTTGATCCTGTTTAGCTGTGTCCACTCCTTATATATTAACCACATCCTGTGTACCTTGTGAACAAGATGAAATTGCAAAATACCTATGTACCTCCCACCAACCCTTCAACTTTGCTATATAATATCTTGTTGACTCTTAATATATTTCACTGTATGTGTTACCATGTATTAATTATGATTATGATTCTTGTATTAAATGTATCAAAACAAGTTCTTCTTCACACAGATGGATCAACAAAATGTAAGATTTGTGAATTGACTTTTACCTTTCGACTGGACTCTTTGGAAAATATGTATCATATACCAAACTCAATATCTGTATTAAACAGGATAAGTTAAATACAACTTTGTAACAATAAGGGGCTAACAACATCAATACTGCAGCATAATTTAGAGAGTGATTTGGGCATATAGGAAAATTTCCTATACATTGTAATGAATATTGATGAGAAACCATTTGACAAGTTTGACTCTGAATGACGACCAATATAAGATCTCCCAAATACATGTATAATTTGTAAACTTTATACAAACAAAAGATCAATGATTTCTAATCTAAAAATGAGATGATTTCAAAAATAAATATATTTGATTATAAAACCCTATCCTGAGTATGATGCCATCTCTATTTCCTAACTTCTGCGATTGAAAACAGATTGTTGTTGTTGTTGAAAAATTATACATTATTCTAGGGACTCTGAATACAAAATATGCAGTTAAACGCAACTAACAAATTAACGCAAGTCTGAAATACACTATCATAATTGATTGTAAATCAAATAGCGTTAAAATTTGAGCTGTATTTAAATGCAAGATTATGCAAGAGGCCCGGAGAGGCATAGAATATGAAGAGAACAAGAGAGAGAGAAAGAAAGAGAGAGAGAGAGAGAGAGAGAGAGAGAGAGAGGAAGAGAGAGAGAAAGAGAGAGAGAGAGAGAGAGAAAGAAAGAGAGAGAGAGAGAGAGACAGAGACAGAGAGAATCTTCTATACTAAATCAATGTACCATCAAGATTAAAACGGCCATGTTAACTTAAATCAAAATGAGTAACTGTTATGACAGAAACTTATTAAAGACAGCCAGATAGGCAGAAGAATGCTTTCAAATATACATGTACTAGCTTCCTAAAAAAATCTAATCAAGCTTTTCCAAATCTGTACAGATATCAAGGTTAGTAACAAGCAAGTTTAATCTGATGATTCCAACATCTAATCAATGTTTTATAGGTACTTTCAAAATTAATCAAGAGATTACTAACCAGCTAATCTGAAAGACTTGCTTTTCAATGTGTAATGCATGCAGTTCATTTAAACAACCCTGCTAGTTCCAATAAATGATCATCAAAAGTCAGTTACTTATTAAAAACATAGTTAGATTATTTCATTATTATAGGGATATAGCTCTTCCTATATTCTATAAAATACAATGCTAGCAGTATCTTATCAATAACAATCTACATGTATTTGTAAATTAACACAGAATTAATAACAACAATGCCCTTCTGGCTCTTAAGAGGTGAGAAGTAAAGCCTGGCATGATAGCTACTAAGTATTCTTCCATCTGACATCACAGCCTATTGCTAGATGATCGGAGGGAAAGACTTCATTGGGTAGAGCCACATGAGCGATGACATCATCATGATCAGGCATGGGGATTTCCCTGAGGACCTCTAGGTGATTGCTATCAATCAGAACGTAATCCAGAGAAGCCACAAACCCTGCTACAAAGTTGGTGTACTCTTGACTGGTGCAGGCATTGGTGAAGTCAAGAGAGTGACTTAGGGTCATTCCACCGCAGAACTCTTCTTTCCCTCCTGTGTCAAACATTAAAGAAGAAAGAGAAAAAAATGCCAATGATGTACTCATAAAAGTATATTAATAAATAGGGAATGGAATAGCAGAAAAGGCACAATCATAAGTGACAGATACCTCAAAATGCACAGAAAGCAACAACAGAGAAACAGAGACAGAGGACTAGAAATTCAAAGATATAGGGCACGGAAGAAAGTCAAATCACAAAATATATTGATGGAAGAGAAAATAGCCTAAATCAATGTAATAACAAGGATATAAACAAAGGCTGAAAAGATGAAAACACATATTGTGCAGGAAAAGCAAAGAAAAAATTAAAATTCAAGGCAGAAACCTTTTTTTTGTAATAAATAAATAATAAAAATAATAAACAAATAAAAAAAGGAAAATCATGAAACAGCTACAATGTTTGTAACCATTGGCCAATCATTTCCTATCAAATCTCTAGTGGTGAAATCTAGATCCTAAATTAGGAGGCCCAAGCCGAACCAAGTTAACAGCAGGTTGAGTCCAGCTGGCTCCACTACAAAAACGTCTTGTTGAAAGAGAGACACTGAAGCTAAGCTGATGTTTCAAGTCAAGTTAGCAATCCTAGTATCTGTTTGGGTTGTGTCATGTCTTGAGTCTAATCTCTCATAACTTTAATTAGAGTAGATCCAAGTCAGCTCAACAGAACTTACTCACGTCTGACTAGAAAGCCACACTGTCCTACTTGAAGCTACATGCTCCCTCTATATAGAAACCAATGCCTATGCGGTGCCCGTTGGTCCCCCATGATTCTCTTTTTCTTCTGTTAATTGAGAGCTGAGTTGATGAGATAACCACCTGTCAGTGACCAGGCTGGGTGGTTTAATCCCACCTGGCTAAACTAGTACGGACAGGCTTTAAGTCCATGTCAGTACAACACTGACATATATTTGAACAAGATATGCCTATTACACACTGTATACAGTCATATCATCTGTTGAGAGCCAGAAGGGCGTTGACTGTGTGTTAAACTAAACTAAACAAGTTAAAACCTTTCTTCCTCTCAGCAGATGATACGATTGTTAACCAAACCAACTAAAAGTAATATCAAATCATTGGAAAGGGTACTTACCACAATACCATTGCACATTATTCTCTGGTATGTGTTTCTTGGAGAGGAGCTCAAACACACCAGGGCAAGTAGGCGCACTGTTCAGATCCCCACAAAGTATCATTGCCAATTTGATATCTGGATTCTGTCAATATAAAGGGTGAGAAATAACAAATAGAGCTGTAAACAATCCAGTTAGAGGTTGAAATCCAACCTCTTGGTTGCAATAAATACGGGACCTAGTCTTGAACCTTCAACTTTCTGATCAAGATAATGAACAGTTTTTCAACAATTTTTTTTTCTTCTAGTTGCTGACATCCTTGAACATTAACAATACACCTCTATACAAGTACTTCATATGGAAGTTATGGAAACAATATTTATCCCTCCTTCATCACTTTTGGACATATAGGTTAGCTTCCTCGTTAATACAACAGTCATAGCTCAGAAAAATTCAGTGTTTTCCAATTAACTATCTCTTATGATGTTAATGTTAGCTGTCAACGGCAAAACATATAAAGCTTATCATTTTTTACAAATTGTAAACAATCAGCATCTCTCTCCTTTCATTTTCATTGCTTTCCTGATAATGTTTGTAATCTTTAGAAAGCCATACTTGGTGAAATCCTCTCTACATTTGTGCTCAACTATTTAGAAGCGATCGTAAACCCTGTTCAATCACTAGTACTTAGATGAACCTGCCTACCTTCTCCAGGTGTTGCTGTTGAATCTTCTGTAGATGTCTCAAGATGGTGATGGTCTGTATTAACCGTATATGACCTGCTCGAGGATGGAAATACAGATGTGTATTGGCCACACATATCCTTCGTCTTGGATCATGACAGTCTTCCAAGACAGCAACCTTGAGAATCAAGACAGAAATTATTAGATGGATAAGCAAGATGAATCAACAAACCCATAATGAATACAAATCCATAATAATTAAATATAACAATTCCGGTTAAATAAGTATAATAATCAGTATGAATAGCAGGGGCAAGTTTGACACTTATTTACTCTGATTGTACATGACAATATGTTTTAGTTTGTATTTTTGTTTTGTTATTCTATTCTTTTGATCTTGTTTCTTTTTTTCCTGTATGTGTGTGTTTAGGGGTAGGCTTTCATATAAGGAATCCCTCCTTTCTGCCTATCCCAAATGCTCTCATAAATTGCCATTGTTATTTGTTATCACTATGTTGTTTTTTATCATTCCATTCTGTATTTGTATGTTTTAAATGTTTGTATGAAGAGTGTTGAATAAACATTGAATTAAATTGAATACATCTATAAATCCCTCTCTTGAACACATTGTATTGTTTAGTAATAGTGACATAGTGTAAACCTATACGTATGTGTCCTACAAATTCAGTTGAACCCCCATGGGATTAAATCATGTTTATCAAATGGAAATCTGAGACCTTGGTGTAATGTCTTTTGTTAAACTTGACTTTAGACCAAGCTCCAACCCAGCAGTGCGTTTGATTTTGAGTGAAATACATGCATTAGGTTTTGGATACCATGAAAATGAGATGAGTACTTACCTGTAGTACACTGCTTCTTGTGAGGACTTGGTTGAGCATAGCCGGTGATTTTGAGACAGCTTCTACAAGATCACTGTTTGAGGATTCTTTCTGGAAGGCTTCAGCTAAGGAGATGTCGTACTGCTCATGCAACCTGGTCAGAAATGGTACAGTGCAACATGGGTTAAGTATTGACTGGAGACATTTAAAAAACTAAATGTCATATTTAATATATGAACAGAATTTACATAAAATATAATTTTGAAATTAGTTACTGGTACTCTGTTTGTCACCTTATTTGTTGATTTTGTACTACCTGTATATAATGTAATTTTAATTTGAACTGTTGAGTGTATAATTTATACAGGGCCACTAACCTAAATCTATCTTCTCTGTAGAAGAGCGCCTCTCCTTCTGGTGTTTGTCTTGTCTTACAGATGAGCAGACCTTTATAACCCTGGTCAGTGAGGGCGGGCTTCAAGCTGTACTCATATAACTTCTTCCCGCACTCCTGAAGACACAGGATATCTGCATTGTAACCTGAAACAGGAGAGATAAAGACATAGTTTGCTACATGAAAAATGCTTTACTATTATCATTTATTTATCTATTACCATCGATAATATAGAACCTTACAGCAGCAATTCTGTTTTGGAATGTTAAGCAAAAGAAACAGTTAATGAATCATAACTCCTCCACAGCACATATACATTTCATAGCCAACCGTGTCCTTAGTTCATTATTTTATCTGGTCTAGATGGTGTCTACTTTAAAGAGCTGATCGGACATTACCACTAATGATAAGGTGAAAATGTTCATTTTAATAGTACAATAGCTGTAGCGTGAACCTTTCATTAAATAAATGTCATTATCATTGTTAGGTGCGTTGGCTAAGTGGCAGAGCAGTGGTCTCTTAAAATCGAGAGGTCCCAGGTTTGAAACTAAGTCATTGTGCTAGTGCCTTTTGGTAAGACATTAATCCTCATTATCAGTCCCTTGGAGAAAACTTACAGCAGGCGGTCACCCGATTGTTTATACAAATGCTTTTCTAGTAATCAGGTAAAACATAACGAACCAACCAAGCAATTAGTATTATCTTGAGTTCTAACCAGCACTAAAGTTAAAGTTCCTTTTGTTATGCAAGGGTTTTGGTTGACTATTAAGCTATTGTCAATGTAACCTAATCTCTTACCTGATATTTCCTTGAGCAGAAGCTGTTCTCTGTAGTCGATATCAAGAGCTACAGGTGAGCAGTATGGGTAGAGGTAGTCTCGAGAGAAGTCAGAGTCAGCGTACATGTCAGCAAGGATGTTGTAAGAAAAGATACGTAAACTGTAAGTGAGGCAATGGGAAGAAATGAAAAAATGTGGTAATTTACATTTCATTATATTGAAATACTCTTTGGCAGCATCTTCAACTTAAATTTGAAAAAGTGCAATAGGTAAAGACAAAAACATGTTTTGCTAAGAAGTGTATGAATCATTACCAATCTGGTGTAGTCCTATTCTTGGTGAATTCATGGCGTTTCTGAAATGGGTACACTTCTGGTCCGCACTTGACTGCTCTCATGGTGACACATTCCTTTCCTTCTCCAAATTTCTCTCCGTTCTTAGGAGTGCACAGAAGTTTCAACTTTGACCCAACATCAGTTAATGTTGGAGTGTACGTCTTTCTTTGTCCCACCTCTAACCATTCAAGATCATGTTCAGTTTTTGTTGCATCATTGGAGCTTTCTTTATTCACATCCTTTTCGCTCATGTCTTTGTTAACTTGTCGAAACCACTGGTAAGTATTCCATTCTTCTTTGACAAACTCTGTTGTGATGCGTGGAAACACAGGGCAACCAACCAATACAAACGATGGTAGACACAGACGTAGAACGGAGGGAAAATTCCTGCATACTTCATACTGCATTTCACCAACTGACAGCACTGCTCCATCTCTCCATGCCTTTTCATTCAGAACATTGACATCAATGAACGTGTTATCATTAGACATGAGAAATACATTCAACTCATCATTCGGCTTCTCATTTGGATTCAAAGGAGCAACAGAATCATCCAGTTTCATTTTCTTCCTTTTCTTCAATTCCTTATCCATATGTTTCTTTAAGGTACACTGGATACGGGCAAGAGCTTTTTCTAAAGCTTCATTTTGTGGACGATTCAAACTGCTCTGTTTGTTTCTGTATGAAAAGGATATGTTCATATTCTCCTCCCCTTCGACGCATCTCACGTAGGCCCTCCCCATCTTGTCCAGTAGAGATCCCGGGAGAGATCTTCTCGCTAGCTTCAGTGGCAGTGTTCCTTGTCTTCCTCTGGGGACAATCACAGCCAATGCATTCTGTATATATCTGAGTAACTTCATTAAGATGTGTCCATTCGTCTAAAGTTCGCTGAGGTTAATTTGGTTATTGCAACTACAAAAGAAATACCGAAATAGCGGAACCGGTACCAAACACACCATCAATATGCATGTCGACTGTCTTGCGCAATCGAAGCTGTGTGTAAAATCAAGCCGACCGAAATCGCATTTCATCCTTATTTATGGTGTCTTTGAAAAATCATAAGCTGGAAGAAAAATATGATAATGTCCTTTTTTTTCTTCGAAAGAACATTTAATTCGAAAGACGATCGAGAATCGCTTTGTTTTCTAGGATCTTCATGCTTGGCACATTTTCGCTTCTCCCTCCCTCCCCCAGTATCCCCCTTCTCCTCTCTACTCTCTCAAAACGGCTCTCTGTCCTTCCTCGCCTCGACTACACCCCCTTCTCTCTCTCTCAGTCTATCTCTCTCTCTCTCTCTCTCCCTCCCTCCTTTTCTACTTTTTTGCTCTTTCAGTTTTTCTCTATTCTGTCTCACTCTCTCCTCATGTTACTCTTTCTTATTACATTCATCCTCATTTCACTTGTCTTTCTCTGTCAGTCTGTCACTATGTGAGATAATCACCTACAATGTACGCTTAGTAAGGATGTGCAGGGTAAAGACAGTCAAAATGTAGTTTGCTTCAAACTTTACTTTTAAAATGTCATTTTGTATACATTTAAGCAAGAGAAAGATAATGCCTTCCTACAATATTCGTACAAAACTCACATTTTCAAGATTTTGTCTTCGAAATAACATATAAGCATATTTACAGTGTGTATATATATATATATATATATATATATATATATATATATATATATATATATATATATATAATAGAGTTATTGTTGTTTATGTACGTGGCAGCAAATAATATTTATGATCATTTTATAGTACTGTTATACTTATCCATCTATTTCATAATTTTTGTTTTGCACAGTATGGTAAGCTTATTATGAAAAATATTCTAGCATGCACGCCCTGTAGTTTAATACTATATACAATCTTCGAACAGAAATGAATGTACTGCTACATGTATGTAAGAAGACATACTTATTACACGAAAAATAGATGAAGTATACAGGTTATCAGCATTACTATTTAAAACTAAACAACTTTACATTTTTGTCGACAACAAATATACAAAATGTATGTATTGGTATAATGTAATCACTTTTCTCACATAAACATGGGCTTAAGGGCCCTATTTTATCGGGGATTGACTTTGCTCGCATAATCAACTTTCCATTTCTAAATATCGCGAGTGAGAGGGATTTGTTTAACTCTTATTTTGATGACAAAACATGTAATACAGAATAAGATATGAAAACACCATTTCAATATCATCGGAAATAGAAGGGGAACTGCAGGTTCCTTGCCTCCCACATCAAAGCATATTTACATACAAAGTCATTCATATCAACTAAAATGTTGATATTGAGCACAGTATAGCCTGGTATAGATAACTAAAAAGAGCATTGTTTTCTAATCATATTGAAAAGTTAACGATTTGAAAAGTTTGATAATGGTTGTGAAAATTTGATTTATTTTATTTTATTTATTTATTTCTGTTTTATTTTCTTTTTCTTTTGCACTTTTACAAATATATAACAAACAACATTGCAAATTTTACACAATCATGACAAAAGACTGGTTGTAACTAATCGAAAACATCAAACAGGAGGGTTGACAAGGTAAGCAAAGTTTGATAGCATGACTACCCTCAATCTGACGAATAATTCGAAAGCAATTAAGGCTATAAGGCTTGTAGGGATTTATTTACGGAGTTGTGACAGTGTCACACGAATCACCCTGTGATGCTTGACCTTTTTTCAGTGCCAGTGGTTTTAATTGGTTTTGTTTGCCCTTTCCACTGGAATCTTTGGCGTTTTTATTTTGATCACTTGTAGATGTCCTGGGAATATTAACTGGACAATACAGATAACGGCTGTAGCAGTTGACGAGCTGCATCCTCACTTGCGGAAGCCTTAAGCAGTAAATGATAAAGATGAAAAACCCTTGGAAAGCGTTCATGATAACAAAGACGGTTTGCGAAAAGGCAATGATCCCTTCATGTCTAATATTAACCAGGAAACCGAAAACCCAGGTTATGCCGAGCAAGAGCATGAGGATGAAAGCATTCCGTAATCGCCGAACTCGCTCGCGATGTCGAGACGATGTGTTGTCCTGTACCTTACCAGTTGTGGTCGAACTGATACGTTTCATGACGAGGATGAAGATGACGATGTTGAAGAGGAGAATGAGACCAACAGGGATGAGCAAACCGGTTATGTTAGGCCATCGTTGTATCAAACACCTGGGAGTGATTGAACGAAATCAAATTACTCTTTTAAATACAGTGGATCAAGTTATTCTTTTAAATACCACGGGTGATCAGTTGCAGATCTCTCTCCGTATATCGCACGACATGTTTGTACCTGTGTTTTCCTCTTTGTCTGTATTAAGTCCAATTAACATAATGGGTTAGATTCAAACCTCCTTTGTGAATTCGGGCCAATGTATATAAGTATGTTCTGAATGTTCATAATGTTAATTAGTGTGGAATAAAAAAAAAAAACTTGATAGATGTGGAAAATGAGAGTCCAAGACAGGCAGACACATGGACAAAGAGCGAGAGAACAAAATTGAATGGGAAAATGAGGAGAGAGAGAGAGAGAGAGTTAGAGGGAGTCGATTTTTGTGTGTTGTTTTGTTACAACTATACTTACATATCTCCGCGAGCATAATTCTCTCTGAAGATACATCCGATGACAAACACTATGACCGCAGGAAGACCTGACATAATGATATTAACAAAAAAAATGACATTATAGTTTACGTTATTATTTTTTTAAAAGTTGCGATTATGATTGCATGGGGCACTCGAAAAGTACCAGCAAGTGCATTTCTGCTGATTATGAAGGATGGGGACATGTGTTTTCATATGTTGTTTATATAGGCCTCCTAGAGTATAGCTAAAAGCTGATTAGGTGACATTTTAAACCCGGATTTTAAACTTTCCAGAAAGGCTTTTCAGATGATAAATTGTAAATTTAATTCTTCCAGAGAGGCTTTTTTCTCAAAAGTTGTAATTGTAATGTTTCAATAAATCCTGACTCAAAAGAAACCACTGTGCAAAGTAAGAGACTTATTGAAGAACGTGGCAGGATAATGTGGCTTCCCTGGTAGAAAAACATCATTCTCGTCTGGGTTTACGCTCGTCTGGACTACTTCTTCTCCAAGTTCCACGTACACGACTACGGATGTATGGTGATTGTGCCTTCTCTTCAGTTGCTCTACGCTCTGGAACTCCCTCCCTCCTATATATTCTTCGCGACACCGACAAGCTAGAAGCTTTAATCAAGGCCGCAAAACCCAACTTTTCGGGTAAAATAATGTGTAGTCCATGACTAATGGAGGAGCGGGCGGACTTGAATTTTGTAACAGATAAATGGCGCCATACAAGTGCTGTAGATCACCATCATCATCATTTAAACATGCTTTGCAATGAAAAAAGTAGCCACTAGTAATTATTAGTATACGGTTTGGTATCCGATCCGCGGGACAGGGATCAATGCTAGGAAAGATACTTACCCCATCCAAAGATAGCTGCCTTTCGGATAAACCGTGGAATGTAGGAATTGATGATGCGGACAAAGAGGAGATAGACATTAACCCCCTCAATGCCCATCCATGCTAGTGATGAGAGAGCGAAGAAGTGGAGGAGAGCTGCAAGGATACCACAAGGGATGCGGGGAAGACCAGGACCAATACCAATCACCAACATGAAGATGGTATAGAGACCAAGGAGAGAGGAGATGAGACAGAGAAGAATCTGGTTTGGTTGCTTGGTACGGAGTTTCCTAGATAGGAAGGTTGACGAAGGAGAGGATAAGCAATAATGATCATAATATTCCATTTTTGTAATGTGCATGAATTGATCCCAAATGTTTTGGAAATAATACAAGTGATTTGAGAGGTTAAGTACATGTATGAAAACAAAAGAGAGAACAATAGAATAAAATGAGAAGCACCAGAAGAAGAAGAGTTAGTAGATGAGGAAATAGCAGGGAGGGTGAGAAGAAGCAGAAGAAGAAGAAGAAGAAGAAGAAGAAGAAGAAGAAGAAGAAGAAGAAGAAGAAGAAGAAGAAGAAGAAGAAGAAGAAAACGAAGAAGAAGAAGAAGAAGAAGAAGAAGAAGAAGAAGAAGTAAAAGAAGAAGAAAAAAAAAAAGAAGAAGAAGAAGAAGAAGAAGAAGAAGAAGAAAACGAAGAAGAAGAAGAAGAAGAAGAAGAAGAAGAAGAAGAAGAAGAAGAAAAAGAAATCAAAGAAGACGAAGAAGAAGATGGTATATGATTACTTACGAGGATGATGCGTAGGCGATGATGGTGAGTATGAGTCCACATGTAGACAGGCCGCAACCAACATAGGTCAATATTTGAGCGAAATATTGGAATTCTAGAGGAAGGAAATCTTCGTTATATACGTCCTGGAGAAAACAACAAAGTGTTATAAAGTGAGCAAACAGCATATGAACAGAGATTTTTAACATGCAAAACCATATTTAGGTTTGTTCTCTCTGTTTCGACCGCACTCTCTCTCTAAAAAAATACATCATTCTCTCTCTTTATGTTTCTCCTCTTCTCTTTATTTCTCCACCTCTCAACTCTCTCAGTTTTGTGTCCTATCATAACTGCTATCATTTCAAGCGACATCTCATGGTATCGCTTAAGTAAAACTTTTTTTTTTAAATAAGATTTCTCATTTGTAATCCCTTTTTCCCAACATGAACAATGTATTTAAAAAAAGAGAAATAACATATCCCATTCACACTCTGCAACCCTTCCCATTTCGATACAGATTTTGTTGTCGTTATATTTTCATAATTTTAAATAAGATCACATCACAAATTACCAAGAGGACAGCGAAGTTAGCCAGCCTTCGACACCTACAAACAGGTCTCCTCTTAGAAGTGCCGGGCACTCGTCTACAACCTCTTGAAGACCAGTCTCCTCGTCTCTGGTTTCCATTGAAGTCCCAGTAAACACATTCTAAATTCTTTATCATATCGGCTTCCTGTATCAGATAGTAAAATAAGAATGATTTCAGTATTTATCAGATACTGTACATTTACACAATGCCCCGAATTGGCAATAAAATTATGTGCATCATATCCACACCTGGTGAGTATCCTGATCTCGTAGCTATGTTGAGAGTAGATTTGAAAGTTTTTGATGTTTCTCTAATATTATATTTTATAATAATTTAAATGTAAACAAATATATTGATTGAAAAGGTCAATGAAAGTTAAACTACTTTGAGGGAATGAAAGTTGCCACTGCCTACGTCATGTTTTGGGGAAAGAAGAGAGAAAAATGTTCAAATTCATTCAACGATTTTAGTCATGTTGTATTTAATTGCATGCCATAGCTATCAGGGTAAGTAGTTTGTAACCTGAAGAAGCAACCCTGCTTAAATAGAACAGTAAATAACTAAATAAATAGAAAACGAGCAAGAAAAGTAGAAATAAAAACTTTTTTTATAATACCATGGCAACATCAAACGTTGAAGTGACGGACTTGTCGTTGTCATCGATTTCATCATCCATACCGTGAACGGTGGCGGCGATGATCGGCGTCAAAGGTCTACGATTGAACGATATTTCTCTTGAGTTCAAAGCCTTGAGCGAGAATGAAAAGAAGAGGGATGTCTTTTGGTAAGCCACGAAGGACACCCTGTAAGTATCATTGCCGGTAAATCTGTATCATAAAAAATAACAACACAACATTTTATATCTATAGTAACACAGTGTTATTTTTCGTAAATAAACTTAAATGCAATTTACACCTTCTTGAACAATCTTAAAACTAATAGCAGTAGACATATTTTTATACAAGAGACAATGAACTAAGAATAAGAACCCTAGGCATTAAACAGATGCGTTTAATCTACATTCCTGATAATACCATCTCTTCATCATTTTATTGCTTAATGAAAATCACAAATACAACGGCCCGAATTCACAAAGGAGGTTGGTCGACAATCCTAGGTTTTCGTGCGTCAGACGTGTTTCGACGCGCTTTTTACAAACCAGGTTTGTAAAAAAACGCGTAAAAACGCGTAATATGACGTACATAAACCTAGGTTTGTCGACAAACCTCCTTTGTGAATTCGGGCCAATAGGTTTGGCTTTTCAACTTGAACCGATGTCCCACCTTGCTTTCGAGTCGAAGTGAACGAGACTTGGCAGCATGACTGAAGCTTGGAACTTCTCGTTGTCATTGAAGTCCTCGTTGACGGAGCCATAGGTTATTTGATTGTAGAGACCGTCTTCATCTTGGTCATCACCGCGATAGAGGGCGAAGGCCGACCCGTCTGTGCTTTCAGATATCGTGGTCACACTAACCTTCAATGACATCAATACGAATATTTAAAGGAAATACAATTAATATTAATGCACTCGGTTATTTTAAAATGGAGAATGAAGAGATACCTAAAGAGAGGTTATGAACATTGAGGGAGGAAGTGAAAAGGGAGAGAGAGAGAGAGAGAGAGAGAGGGGTGGAGGGGAAGGAGGGGCTGAAGAGAGAGAAAGAAATGAGAAAAAAGAGATGAGCATGATGGAGAAAAAAACAAGAGATGTCAACTGACAGGAAAAATAGAGACTAACATCATGAAGAAGGGAGTGAGGTGGACATAAAATATAATTATCTTATAGTAAGAAAAGTTGAATTTGATGTCAGAAAGGTAGATTATCTTACCCGAACGGCTATGTTTTGATGAGCAACGCTAAAGCTTCCATTTTCCGATGATATGTCTACTATATTAAGTTGCTTAGCAATGATGTCCAAAGCCCGATTTGTAGCATTGTTGTCTTGCTGAGCAATTTGTAATTCAATCTCTTCTACATTCATCAGGTTACTGATGACCTCGAGCATGGAATTTGTCACCTGAATATCAAGAAACATACATTTAATTAAAATCAACAACATTCAAGACATTGATTAACAGTCTGCCTCTCAGAAATCTCAATTTTTCGAACGTAAACATGAATGGAAAATATTTTCCTTTTTTCTGCTCCATTTTTAAAATTTTAAATCCAGCTATCCGTCATTTTAAAATTGGTTAATTTCTTTTTATTAACAAAAGGACACCAACAAAGTCTGATCATGTCAATAAATAAGTCGCTGTAATGCATTATTACTTATTAATACAGGAAAATGATCATTCTCGTTTAGATGCAGGCGCGTACGCAGGATTTTTTCAAGGAGGGGGGGGGGGGGGGGGGGGGGTAAGAGGACACTTTTTTTTTTGGGGGGGGGGGGGTCTCGAAATTTGAAAATTTGACATTTTGCTCCGTTGGGGGGGAGGGAGGTTAAGGTCAGCTTTTTTAGGTCAGCCATAGGATTTTTTTTTTTTTTTTTTTTTAATAAATTAAAAAAAAAAAAAAATCCAAAGGGGGGGGGGGTTAGGGGGTTATGGGGGGATTACACACAGAAAAATACCAAAGGGGGTGTTTAACCCCCCCCCTCCCCTGTGTACGCGCCTGTTTAGATGTATAATAATGATATTGAATAGGTGATTTTTGTGTGTGTGTGTGTGTGTGTGTGTTTCGGAGGAAACCCCCCCCCCCCCCCCTTCAATTTTTTTTTGTGCTAATGGGTGACCAAAACGACATTCAAGCGGCAATTTTAAGATTCCGACGGCAATCGAAGTGCATTCCAGCTAGATTCTTTTAGTACCAACAATATCGAAAAAGATTCCGGCGGCAATCGAGATGCATTCATGTATATCCTGGTCGGGACATTTCAACTGCATTCGAACGGCATTTGAGCGGCAATCAAAAGATTCCGACGGCACTCAAAGTGCATTGCATTCGAGGTGCATTCGGGACGTTCCAACTGCATTCGAGCCATATTCGAGCGGCAATCTAACGATTCCGACGGCATTCGAAGTGCATTCGAGTTGCATTCGGGACGTTCCAACTGCATTCGAGCCATATTCGAGCGGCAATCTAACGATTCCGACGGCATTCGAAGTGCATTCGAGTTGCATTCGGGACGTTCCAAGTGCATTCCAGCCGCATTCGAGCGGCAATTTACAGATTCCGACGGCATTCGAAGTGCATTCCAGTTGGATTCTTTTAGGGTCGAAATAGATTCCGACGGCAATCGAGATGCAGTATTGCAACCTGGTTGGGACACCAGGCGCGTACACAGGGGGGGGGGGGGGGGGGGGGGGGGTTAAACACCCCCTTTGGTATTTTTTGTGTGTAATCCCCCCATAACCCCCTAACCCCCCCCCCCTTTGGTATTTTTCTGTGTGTTAAACCCCCCCCCCCCGTAAACCCCCCTTAAAACCCCCCCTTTGGATTTTTTTGTTTTTAATTGTGGTACATCTAAACAGGCGCGTACACAGGGGAGGGGGGGGGTTAAACACCCCCTTTGGTATTTTTCTGTGTGTAATCCCCCCATAACCCCCTAACCCCCCCCCCTTTGGTATTTTTCTGTGTGTTAAACCCCCCCCCCCCCCGTAAACCCCCCTTAAAACCCCCCCTTTGGATTTTTTTGTTTTTTAATTGTGGTAATAAAATAATCCAAATGGAATGCACTTCGAATACCGTCGGAATCTTTGATTGCCGCTCGAATGGAATGCACCTCGAATGCATCTCGAATGCCGCCAGAATATATTTCTATATTTTCGGTACTAATAAAATAATCCAAATGGAATGCACTTCGAATACCGTCGGAATCTTTGATTGCCGCTCGAATGGAATGCACCTCGAATGCATCTCAAATGCCGCCGGAATCTATTTCGATATTTTCGGTACTAAAAGAATCCAACTGGAATGCACTTCGAATGCCATTGGAATCTTTATATTGCCGCTCGAATGTGTCTCGAATTCAGTTGGAACCAGGTGCGTACGCAGGGGGGGGGGGGGGGGGTCGGGGGTCGAACCCCCCCTCCCTCAATTTTGTTTTGGTTTGTGTTTTGGAGGAACCCCCCCCCCCTCTTTTTTTTTTTTTTGTAAATTAAAAAAAAAATTGAGCTAATGGGTGACCATAAAAAGATGACCTTACCACCCCCATGTGCTCTTACCCCCCTCCCCCCGCTTTTTAGCGGCTGGCTGAGTCGTTGCGAAATTTTTCATCAAATCCTGGACCCCCCCCCCCCCTACCCCCCGCTTATTCAGCGATTGGCTGAGGCATGGTTTTCAAATGTTAACCCCCCCCCCCCCCCTTCGAAAAAAAAGAAGCCAAAACACAAACCAACCGTGTCAACAAATCATTCGATCAAGTAATTCATTTTACCATTGGAGTAGAGGAGTTCAGATTGGCGACTTTCTCGAGGAATGTCACGACATTGTGTACGTCCTCTGCTAGTATCCTCTCATCAGGTGTGTTTGTTATCGAGATTAGGAATGGAAGCTGGCGAGCAATGGAAGTAGCTGTCACAGGTTCCTTGTGAGGGGAGATAACAAATTAATAATGTTTATTGAACATAATCCATTTAGCATGAACATGTATAAGTTTATGCACTATTCTTCGATTTGTATTACTTGTATCCATTGTTTTGAGTGATCTTATCATGATACTTGAGCTTAAAACGAAAATGAGCCAAATCGCGGGAGAAATTTAGAATTTAAATTGAAGGTTTGAATGAATGTACTGAAAAGAGAGAGAGAGAGAAACAACTTAATGCCTGAGAAAGACCAGAATGAGAGAAGGTTGACATTAGATTAAACAATATACGAAGAGCATAGTTATATCATTAGTCAAAACATTTTGTTTCGTTAAACATAATGGTAAACATGTTAATATACTATGAGGGAAACCTTCATGAGGAAGAAGGTGCTTTGATATTAGCTCCGGCGACAATTATTGATCTAGAATTTAATTCGTCGTAATTATAAGTTTAGGGTTAGGGTTAGCTTTAGTGTTGGGTCCAGGCTTGAAGGTAAGGATTCTGTTAGTGCAGGAAATCACCGAGGAGCAATTGTCGAAGGGACAAGTGTCGTACAACGGAGATAGGAAGATAGAACATGAAATGGACTAAATTAATTAACCTTACACTTGGTCAAGCTAAACTTGCAGTATTCGGACTTCTTAGTTTTGAGATACACATTTATCGTATAATGATAATAATAATAACATACCAAACTTATATAGCGCATATAGCAAATACGTCCATATGCATGCCATGATAAAGAACAATTATAACCCCCCCCCCCCTCCCACCGAAAAAAATAATAATAACAAATCAAACTATCCAAAAAAGGACAAACCTTTAAAAGATTATCGATTCGTCTGTTAACCGTTCTGGTTGCCGGGGTCGTCGTTATATCGACATCTCGTGATCGTGTCTCTGTTTAAAAAAGACAATGTAAACATAAAGACAATGTAAACATAAAATCTACTCCAGCTGCCCCGATCCCATTTCCGCGATAATAATTATATAGGCTAATTCAAGATAGTCATACGGGGTTAAGAGTTTTGATTGAATGTACATTATAACACTCCCTAAAGTGAACTAATATATTTTGTTTTAATGTGAGTCTGCTACGAGATTAATCGGTTATGAAAACTCAGACAATTTTTTTTTTTTAATTCTGCTTTGCCTGACAAAACTTCAGTTCTTATCTTATAATCATTGAACTTACTGGAGCAAAAATCAAGTTCGGGGGTCCAAATACCGTTGACACATTTTGAAATCCTGGCTTCACCATTGCACTCCAGAACGATGAGATCTTTGTGCCTGAACTCCAGCGGGCCATCGGGGTGAAGTGTGGTGTAGCTCCTGCCACTAGGCTGCGGACATCTTACTGTTTCAAGAAAAGAAAAGAAAAATGTACAGTGGCTTTTAAAGGGTTATTTCGTGTATTTTGCATTTGTATTCCGATCGAAAAGCCCCTTCACTATTTAGTTCGAGGAGGATGCATTTCGTGAAAACTGGGTCCTTGATCTTACTCAAGAAGAGGGCGATATGTTGTATATGGAATGTATCGCTCCATACGCTGAAAGAAATTAGAGTGAGCGTTTGATAATAAGTGAATATAAATGAGTTATTATATTTGCAAAATGCTTTCCCCACTTGTTTAATTTTCTCGTTACAAAATTAAATTTTCTACCTCGAGTCTTTAACCTGGGATTCATAAATCGGGATTCATATTGCTCCGGTTGTCTCATTTTCGATCGCTGGACGTATATAGCAGACGGCAATCGGCGGATTAGACGACACTTGGTAGTGAATTTGTATGTGAGATTGCTTTGCTAAATATAAAATACAAGAACATTTTCCATATCTTTAAACTATCATTGATATCTTTTAATTAAACAGTTATTAAAATAAACCTACCAAACTACATAATACAATGAAATACTTGACTTAAAGTAGAGAAGTTTGATGTGGTGCACAATTGGACCCCTCTGTAAATAATCGAATAGTCCATGGCGATCATGAATATTCATGTTTTTGCCTACCTCGGCAAAATGCTTGCCTACACTAAATGGACAAATTACGGTGGGGGGGGGGGGGCTGGCTGAAATGGACATAATGAACCGATCAGAACTGATCTATGATAATTCATGCTTGTTATCCTTCGTGTGCTTGATCTATAACCTTACAATCGCGTGGCAAATTGCGTCCAAAGTTCGACTTGTTTCACATGTGTTATAGGCAATAGCGAGCTAGCGACTTACGGTGGGTGTACTTTCAAAAGTCAATGGGACATGAGGGTTCCAATGAAAGAGCTAGTGTCAACGTACGTCGGGGTGGATGTGAATTTTTAACGATTTTTTTTGGGTAAAAGTCAGTAGGCTAACATGTTAGGCTGCTGGTCTCTGACGATAGGGGGCGTTGTCCAATGAGACTATTCGGAGCCATACTGTAATGCAATAAGGGAGGCATAATTTTGAGTGGAATTAATACAATAATTTAAGGGGCAATTATTGTTGTGTACATACGATACGCCAATTTGGGTTTCATGATGGCATGGTCCGGTTGTTCCCCACCCCCCCCCCCCCCCCAATCCACCAACGAAGGTGGTGCTCATAGACAGTCATATCCTGTATTTGTTTATGATTCTTTTTCTTGTAGTGATACTTACATTCACAATCGGGTGTCTGAGTATCCCATCTACGTGATCTACATGTCGAGATAGGTTGACCAACTAGAGAGTAGTTAGGGCTAACACAGCTAAAGGTCACTGACCTTCCTGGTTGGTAGGAGTACTGCTTGGGACTGTACAGCAGGACGCCCTCAGGTACGAGATGCGGGCGTTGGCAGTTCTCTCGTGGAAACTGAATTTCGTCGGAAGACAGAACTTCAGAAAGGAATCGAAAAGAAAGATGCGTTTCATTATGCTTGTCCCCGTATTCATGACTGACGATTGGGCCTTCTTCTTCTCCCTTGATCATTCCGCCAGCCCACTCATCCCCCCCCCCCCCCCACATACACACACATCTTTTTTTCCTCTCTTCCTTTCTCTCTCTCTCTCTCTCTCTCCATCTCCTTTTTTGTTTCTCCTCCACTTTATATTTTACCCCTCTCAATATTATTTCCTATCACTTCATTTTCTTAATTCTCCAATCTATAGTCTAAACATCCACTGTAGATTGTAGTGGCGGAGCCCTAGTATCGTGTCCAGAAAACAACGATAATCAGCCCCCACCCTCCCTTGGTATCAAATTTAAACGGTGAGGTATGACCAAAATATAATTTACAAGTCCCGGCCTTAAATATTCTCAACTTTTACCGAGGAGGACTCGGGGCACAAACAGCGTATGAATAAACTTATTGGGGAAATTTTGCACGTGCCCCCCCCCCCTCCTATTTGCTAATAGATCCCTGATGATCAAACTCACCATAGCATTCCCCTGGATCTGGAGACCACTTTCCATTGATGCAGGTAGATGATGCCTTACCAAGAAGCCCATGGTTGGGAATGTTACAAGAATAATTGACGACCGATCCATTGGTATACACCTTACTAACCGGAACCACTGTCACGCTGGATGATACATCAGGGGGGTCACATGACTGGGTGTCCAAAGCAGCTAGAACAAATGAAATAACAAGGCATGGAAGTCTTTTGGAAAAAGAAGGAGATTGAGCTTTCTAAAGCCAGTTTGTGTCACTGATAAATACGTTAAAGAGACGGAAAGCACTGACTGCAAAATAAATTTAGAAAAATAGTGCGAATATTTCGCCACATTCAAATGAGTGCGATGACGTATAACCAATTCGAGGTACTCCCTTAATTAAATAGTATTATCTAGATCTTTTTGAATTATTATTCTGATCTTTAATGCCTTTAGAAGTTTAAAAGCATAATTATGTCCGTGTAACTTGTGACATGAGACGTGATTGCGCATAATATGAAAAGCTGTCAGCACAAAGAGTTAACTGAGAGATAGAGGGGCGTCTCTCTCTAGAGTATGACTTACGTGTGCATTGGGGCACTTTTCGACTCCAGTAACCATCATTGCGGCAATAGGCAGACGATGATCCTAGCAAATCAAACCCGTCGTTACAACTGATTTGTATACTATCGAATATGTTGTATTCCGATCTCTGATTGGGTATATATCCATTCTGCGGAGCCTGAGGAAGGGGGCATTGAACATCACCTTCAAGGGGTAAATAGTAGTTTAGATAAAATGAAAGGAAATAGATAGATATCACCTAACGATCTCGGCAAGTAGGCCCCTGAGTACCATAACATCTTGAAAAGTTGACAAACCCATTTAATCTTAATAATAATAATAATGATAATAATATATAATAATAATAATAAAACGGTGCTTATACCGAAGTCTCTAAGCGCTAGTGAAACGATATACCATACGGTTAAGAGGGTTAATGAGGACAGTGGACAGTCATTTTTGCTCCTTTACGCGACTTAAATGGAATAAGATCACAAAGGGGGGGGGGGGAGGGTAAACGAAAGTATTATGATAGGAATAATCGCTATAGAAAATATTCGATGATTAAAATATTAAAATAAAATGCGAAAAGATTGATAGAAGAAAGTATAAGAAAGTTTAAATTTTCTTATCATATATGCAAAATACGCAGTTTATTTAACATTTATGCAAGCAGAAAATCGCAAACTCATGTTTCATGAAGTCTCTATTCTTTGTATTTTCAAAAGACTAATCCACAACCGATTAAAGATCGAAAGGAACTGTAAAACAAAAAAGCTATGCATTTTTGAAAACACTGTTATTGAAGAAAACGATACATGTTTTATTTGAACTATGTTAAGAAGCCACGATGTTATTCCAATCGATTGTGTATGATTGTTTGATTTGTTCAACAGCATATATTTATCAATAAATTCATTTTACAAAAAAAAAAAAAAAAAAGATAGAAGAAAGTATGGTGCAAGACAAATTTATAGCAAATGACGAAAAAGATAAATAGATCACTTCCGGTAACTTGGGATGGACTTACTCAGACAGACCACAGAAGGGGGACTCCAGATACCCCCTTCTAGACACCTGACCTCCTGTGAGCCATACCTCACCCCATCACATCGCACCCTTACTTGCTCCCCTGGTAAGATTCTTGTACACTCCGCCTCTATTTCACTCAATGAGCGATTAAACTCAATATTGATATCCTCCGTGTTGCATCCCGTCCCTGCCGCTGTAAAATAAACATGATTTATAAATCATCAAGATCTGTTTTGATTGATATCATGTTGTATCAATAATCATAAATCATAAATTGGGTCAATCCAGCTATCAAATGTTCATTTCGCTATTTTATCTGGAGTAATCGATAAGTAAATCTGTTTTGTGCTACGGATATCCAGATCATTCTTGGGTGGACCGGGAAAATGTTGATCCCTATACAGGAAGCCGATTCCGTTATTATTATACCCGGTGCGTATGTGGATGGATTACTTCACATGTTAAATCGCGTTAAAAGAAAGGTTTACAAATCCTTATAAGTGCATGATTAGAAAATTTAAAAATATATATACATTTCTCAAACATTTTAATGAAACTATGAGGTAAATAATCCATGAAGTTAATTAAAGAAAAGGATAAAAAAGAACTGTCATTGTTTTGAAATTGTAATAAAATATACACTCTGAAAAAGGGTGGCTAATTTTACTGAACACAGAAAACTATTAAATTGTACTCAACAAACAAAAATGTTCCCTTCTTACGAAAAAAATTGGTTAGAGGTTTACTCAACTGTAAAAAGTGCAAGCGTACCGAAAAATATCTTATTCGTTGTTTAAAGATACACACTCTTACATTCTTGTCTATCTTTATATTATATCCTCATTATTAACTGTGACTATTAGTGTGAGCACATTATGACTATCCTCTCGAAGTAATCTTAGTCATTGTGTTGTATCAGAGTCAATGTGCGCTAAATATTTCATGAAATTATTTCAAGGAGTAGAGATCTCCGGCATTGTTTGCTTGTTTCTTTTCTGGGGGAATATGTTTGTACAATCACCGGCTTTCTTAACAACAGTCCTGATCTGTTCTATTAGTCTCTCCATTGATGAAAGTCGACATTAATTTTTTTAACGAATAAATCGGAACAAAAATGGCTCACCTAAAAGTGGGCATGCGCTTCGGATAGGATCAGTTTGTTGTCCACTGGCTGTTGATAGAAGAAAAATGATAAGACCAACTGATCGATTTAATAGGCTTTCATTTTAAAAGTCTGTACTCTCTGGAACAGTACGATAAATCCGTATGAGTGCTTAATGCCCGGGGGGGGGGGGGGTACTCATATACTAGGGCATACGGGGGTGTGCCGCTCTAATAGGTCACTTTTTCCCCAAAAATCCCTAAACATGGGTCCCACTTTTTGACAAAAATACCATTAAAATGGGACCGTTTTTTCAAAATTTCCGAAATTTGTAAAATGTTCATGCAAACACCCGAAAAACACCCGAAAATAGTGAAAATGTGTCTTTTTTCGAGAAAAATGCCCCACAATGACCCCTAGTAATGAGTAGGGGCTTCGAGGCTTCAGCGGCATACCCCCGTCCAAACCAAATCTGAGTATCCCCCGGGGCTTAAGGCGTAGTTAGTATGGGTCCAACTATTAGAGGGCGCTGGTATCATGGAGGGGGAGGGGGCATCGGTCTTAAAATGAGGATGAAATAATAATTCGTCGCTGTTTTCACGAAGTGACGGTAGTGAAAAAAAATTGCCGCTTTCACTTTGTGTTACGATTTTTCTCACTACCGTCACTTCGTGAAAACAAGGACGAATTATAAGAGGGTGAGGGAGGGGGTCGCATCACCTCATTTTACATTTTCTTCTCCCATTCCCCCCCCCCTCTTGTATTTTTTTTCGCAATACAATAGGCTCTGAGGCACGTGACCTTTTGTCATGTACTAGCTACGCCACAAATATTTTTAAATATATATATATATATATTATTCAAAATAGCGCGCGCCCTATCAATATCACAAAGGGTAACCATTTTTGTTTTCCCCTTGTAAATACCGATGCTTAATTTGCTTTGTTTGTGTGTTTGCTTTTTTTTTTTTTGGAATGATTATTAATCATTATTGAACGCGATATGTTCTCGCGCTTCAATTAGGAAAAAGTATGGTTCTAATATAATGTCATCAAAGGAAAAGTAAAGCATCCGGTTTTTGCAGTCTAAATGGACATAAAGCTCCGTCAGTTAAAAAGGAATCATTGTTGTAACTTTTTAGGGCACCTGATATTTTGAATAATATATATATATATATTAAAAAACTATTTTAACCACAGTTGTTCGGGCACACAAAATCATTTACAAATAAATCTCTGGCCGTTTTCGCTTACTACGAGCATTGACCCTCAAATTCATTTGCATAAGATGCAAAGTGAATTCTTATTTACTTCAAATCGAATTGGCGCGAAGTAACAAGAAAAAAATTGGTTTGAAATTGGAGAAACAAAAGAGGATTATACAAGTAATGTATTCTCTCTAAAGATCATTCTTTTGAATCCATCTGAATTATATTTAGACCGTAAGGACATCTTATGATCCTTGGTAGAGTCTGGTAGCCCCCAATGGAAATCAGCTTTTGATGTTAGGGGGGTCCATCCCATAGGAGACAAAAATACATGAATGAACAAACCTTTACAGACAATGCGTATTACACTATCGTTATACGGTACATTTAATCGCAAAATATCCAGGACAAAAATGTACGCCACATCTGGTTAATATTACTTTCATCAATCCAGTATATTGGTAATGTTTTAAAGATAACAATAGCACGGAAATTAGAACAGCGGTAATATACCTTGGCTCGGTTTTCCTAAGCATAATACAGACACACAAAATAACACAAAATATAACGGAATGGGCAACTGATGAAGAGGATTTTCTTTCACAAAGCAGGTCTGTTTTTTTTTAATGAATTGATTGGAATGTGCAAGTATTTGTAATACTGCAGTGATTTATGCGTATCATAATTATCAAGGCTCAGTTGTTCAACTAAATTTATACAACCTAATTATTAACTTGAACCTAATATGTCAACTTTATCTATAAAACAATTCGAACGACCTTTTTGAAGAAAAAAATTGCTATTAAAATAGGATGAAAGAGACTTACCAAAGCATATCTGTAACAGGGTCCAGAGAGCCAAGATGTAAGCAATGTTTGCCATGTTCCTTCCTTGTTTAGAATAGTTCGATTTCGCTTAGAATGGTCCGCTGTTTGTAAATTTAGTAGATTTATAGTAACTACCAAAATCCAACTCGTTGTTTGTCACTTACTAAAACTGATAAGAGTGGAGATGGTACAGGATTCACACTTCCGTCTGTGTTGTTGTTTGCCGAACTTCGATATGAAAATAGATGACTGGCCTGGCCTACTGTGCAGGCACAAATGCCTTTTATTTCAGCTGTACCCAGTAGATACAATATATCGTAGGCATATAGGATTGGAAAAAAACAAACCTTTTTTCAGACGTGTTATGTTACAGACTAGTTTAAACCTACACTTCCGACTCGGAATTTCGATTGTAGCAAGGCCGCTGGTAATAAAAACATTGAGATTCATAGTCATTCTTCCACGTTCTCAGTTTGCTATTTCATCTAGCTTTTTTTGTTGGTGGTCATTTGCGTCTTTGATAATACAAATAATATATAAAGCACATTATGTTGAATTCTAAAGCTGGCCCCGAAATAGTCGTCCTGTTTTACCCATAAGATGTGAACCCTCAAAGTTACTAAGACTATCTTACTCATTGACAAAATGGTTGTCAGTCTGACCGTATCGCACTACAGTAGCTTAGAACACCCCCCCCCCTCACCCCCCCCCCCCCCAAAGCCGGCTCGTGTTATCACCTTATCTAACCAATGCCCCAAAACTTTGTCAGTAGGACGAAGTGTTATACTGGACATTAAAACACAAACGAATTTGAGAACAAAATACGTTACCCCCCCCCCCCCCCCGCCATCATCCTATAAATTGTTGTCGTTTACGTTATTGCTGTCATTGTTGTTGTTGTTGTTGTTGTTGTTTGATATTCAGAAGGCTTGATATATGCTCACGTATTTTAAAAGCTGCTTTGGAAACACTGAATCGGAAGAAGACTATACAAAGAAAAGTTGGTTAGAACACGAGAGATAGACATAACAGCTCAAGGAAACGAAATAGGTCTTAATTACATCTTGTATCGCAAAGAACTTCCATTGAAACCAAAAAAGTTAGCATTGATGAATATGTGAAGGCCGACACCGATCTCTTGCCGATGACTTGCCCGATTATCAACTTTTCATCCAGTTTCCAAATTTTACGAGCTAGCCAAAGCGAAAGAGACTTGATAGTGCTTAAAGGTACTATGTCCCTTTTGCAGCCAACCTCAAATTCTGTAGAACTTTGCAGGAATTATGAATATGTCATGTATGTCCTATCTGTGAAATTTAAACGTTAGCAGTATCCTCATATTCAAATTATGCAAGGAAACCCGTTTACTTGCTAGACTTCACTGTCAGACACTATTGAGTGACTGACTGCCTTTTTTTCTTCTTTGGTAATAACATACATGAAAAGAGTTGTAAAGGGTACATGAGCATTTGCCTACATCAATAACCCACTTATTGTGATGGCCAAGATTAAACTGATTGAATCTTTGCGCAGCATAAAACATATGACCATTCGGTACAATTGTCTGAAAATCAGGATTATTACTTTTGGGCTCTATGGCCCTAAAGTCGATTTGACAACTAATAGTCGTTATTTTCCCACTTGAAGACATTTTCAAGCCCCACCTTTTTTAGGGAAGTTCTAAATTAGTATTATCTTTCAAATGCAGTTGGAATCTAACTTTCTCATTTTTTTGGCCTGCAAATGGGACATAGTACCTTTAAAGTGGTCATCAAAAGGCTTTCGAAAAGCTAGCCAAAGCGAAAGAGCAAAATGACATTTTGTTGTGTTTAAAGTGTTATCTAATCATCAACATTCATTAGATACAATATATACACTGTTGGTCATAATGGTGGAATATTTATTTTTACCCCAGTTTAGGGAAGGATTTTAAAAAATTATTTATTTCTAATAGATCTAGATAATGGCATACATTCTCTTTGAATCTAACTTTCTCTGTAGGGCCATGCATTATGGTTCAAGGCATGGCCACACAGAGGGATTTTTCCTGTTGGGGGCCGGGGGAAAATGCAATGAATTTTTGACAATTTATTGCATTTTCTTCGTTTTGGGGGATTTGTGGGGGCGGCCGCGTACCCTAGCAAACACTGCGTACATTCATGATTCAGGGGCTAAGCAATGGCCTCGTTACTGTGAGGCCCCAGGATAAAAATCTTGTCGATCAGCTATATTAGTGCCCTTTTGTGAGGCATTAATCCTCATTACTGTCAATTATGATTTAAGGACGTAGGTTCCCTAGCTGATTAGCATAGTAGCACACATATGATTTAGCAGTCACGCAAAACAAACACTCGCAAATTAACATTCAATAAAATCTCAGAATATATGCCATTATCTAGATCTATTAGAAATATTTTTTTTTTTTAAATCCTTCCCTAAACTGGGGTTAAAATAGATATTCCACCATTATGACCAACAGTGTATATATATATATATATATATATATACATATACACATTCGGTCACTTCGCCACCTTGAACCTTGAATCTAGGTAACAACGGCAAAGATTGGATAAAGTATTATTATACTATAAAAGGCATTCATTGCCTGCCTTGATTGTCAAGGTCAAATACAGTATGACCTGAACCTGACTACCAGGTCAGATGTGTTGACCAGTCACACAATGCATGAGGGCAGACAATATCCCTTCTTTTTCATATATTTACACCAGTTGCTGCTATAAACATGGAAGTTGTTCAAGACTTGGTAGCATGGGAAATCGATTTCCCACCAGCCTGTATAATGGTTTAATGTTGCTTCTCTATCCGTGCAAGTCGCTTTGGGTACTGCTGGCTTTGTGGCGACATCGTATACGCCGTGTATTATGTATGGTTCTTTACAGGGACTCGTCGAGTGAGGAGGCTCAAACTCGGCTAAGTGGGAGAGGAATGTCGAAACTTAAGAAACAATATATCCATTCAATTATTTCCCATATACACTTACTCAGGGGCGGCGCCACATGGGGACAGGGGGCGACCGCCCCCTATCATTTTGAAAAAAGAAGAGGAAGGGGAGGAGAAAGAGGAAAAGGAGAAGGAAAAAGAAAGGAAAAGAAGGAGAATAAAAGAAAAGGAAGGGGACGAGAAGGAGAAAGGCCAGGAAAATGAGAACCATAATAAGTAAAATATGACGTAAGGGAGGGCAGGGGAGAGGGGGAAAATAAAGATAGAGAAGAAAAAAAGAAAAAGAGAGAAAAAGCAAGCCAAATCAGGCGATCAGATTTAGACGCGTCATTATTACATTCAAATTACCGGCGGAAGTTCAAACATTGGTTTACGATGAAAAACCTTTCGCCAAATGAAAAAATCAAATTAATCCCTCGTCTCTCCTAAACCTTATGGCTGATCGCTAAATGGAAACGACAAATTCATCTCTATAACAACCCTTCTGAAAAATTTGGTGACACCCAATAACCTGGCGCCGCCCCTGCACTTACTTCATTATTTGGTGCATCAAATGAATACAAATCAATAAACAAAATTCCCTCAATGGAAATGTTAATTTTAAACTTAGCAGAGGTTGAAAGATCAATATTCAATTATATAAATGACAGTCGACTCGAAAAGTTCATGAACTTCATTTTCCCATAACTCTGACATAATAGAAACTTCTATTTTAGATATTTCCTGTCATGACATTTCGGATTCAAGGGATGCTCGTTATATTATCATGATCATTATGCCGTAATGTTATTCATCACATCATGAATGAGATCATGGTTGCCTTGGTTACCACCACGATGTTTGATTTCAATAACGGTTATGAATAACATTATCACAGTCTGACAGATGAATTATTTCTAAATTTAGGAATAACAGTAAAATTAAAGAGAGTTGGCTAAATGAGAAGTATGAGGGTATCTAAAGTATCCTGACGTTTAATGAAGTAAGATGTGTACACGCGTGCATAACAATCTTGCACCTTGCGTCGCACTGTATACCAAGATGGCTGAGACCGTATCAAGACAAATACCCCCTGGACAATCACCCGCCGGAAAACTACCCCCAAGGATAATACCCCCCCCCCCCCCCGAAAAAAAAAGAAAAATTCCCCAAGGACAACCATTCCCCGAGGACAATTACCCCCCCCCCCCCCCGTGGACAATAAAACCACCCCCTCCTCCCTACCCCTAGAAGTTCCCCCTAGGACAATTACCCCCCCCCCCCCTCTGTTCATTTTATTTTAATAAAAGCAGAGTTTCTTTTCGTGGGGTAATTGTCCTCGGGGGAGAGGTATTGTCAAAGGGGGTAGTTTTCCGGGGGGTAATTATCCTAGGGGGTTAATTTTCAGAGGTGTAATTGTCCTCGGGGATGGTTGTCCTCGGGGGTGCATTTTCCGGGGGTTATCGTCCTTGGGGCCTTTGGGGGTAATTCTCCCGCTAGTGATTGGCCGGGGTAATAAATTATCCAGCAGTATTCTTAACAATAATGATTATAATTATGTGTATTGCTGAAGAAATACAAAAATGTGTGTGTTTTTCATTTCATATTTGAATTTACTATGCTTTTTTAGAAAACGAGTCTTGAACAAATTTGACAAAGTGGATAAAATATACAAGTTCTCTTCTTTCTACATGAGTAGCGGGATTTGATCGCTATTGTCAGAGTAAACTGACCAGCATTCACTTCACTAAAGAGTTAGCCCGCCGCCTATATACAGGGGACTGGTGTCACAGCATATTCGTTACATCCGGCAACTATCTACACAAACGTCTGGGAATCTGGGCGTGTCACCTTGGATTCAGGATATCCCACTATCTCTGCTACATGGCAATACCAAATGCCTATTTAAAAAATATATAAATATAAATGTTTCCTTGTTTCTGACGTGTCCAATGGTTTGGCTTGCCCCGATTTGACGGCATATCCATGTGATCAGATAGCTGCAGGGGCACGGGGGACGTTCCCCCATTTAGTGGTGGCAAAACATGGGGGCGGGGCCAAGGGAGAAAGGAAAATAAGAAAGGGAATAGGGAGAGAGATGAAAACGCGTGAAACACCTCCCGAACCCTTTCCAATGAATAGCCTTGTGAATTGTAATTTTCTCTTTCCGGGTGCGGCCCAGCTACCCCACCGCGAGAGTGAAATCAATTACACTGATATAAACTTTAAAAACTGAGGTATATTACAAGAATATGCACTTTAGATGTTTGAACAACTCAAGTATTTCATTAACCGATTAAAATTGGTATCGTCTTCTTCCCGTTTTCATTGTGGCTTTGATTGAGACATAATTTATCATTTTGTAACCCTAAAATCAAATGAAAAGGTTTTATTATACACTGTTGTTGTTCCAACCTTTATATGCTGTGGTCATACCAGATACCCCGGCTGTTTTTGCATACTAGGCCTAGATTATTACCGTGATTCTACGGACAGTTACAATTCCCACAATTTTGCCTGAAATTGTATACCTCTCAGAAAAGGCGTATTGTATTGTATGTAGGCCTAGAAAGTTCGCTGCAACGTTACATAAACAATACTTTGTCTCGTGGGAACATATATGTTTGCATTACTTCCTACTCAAAGTTTAAATCAACAACGCTAACAAGAAAAAATAGAGTTAACCACATAAAAATAAAGGATGACATGACACTTTGATACATCCCTTCATTGTTTCATTTCGTTCCAAATAACTATGTACCTATATACGAAACTTTAAAAAATGCAATGACATGCTCACTTCTCTTCATTTTAAACACGCGATTTTTTTTAAAATTGTAAATCTAACTCTTACAATGACTACGTTTACTCAAATATATCCTAATTTATTTTGTATATGCATTAGGACTTTAATAAAAAAACAAATTAATGTACAGTTCTGTAATTACTTCGTCAGTTTGTTTCATAAAATTGGTTAGCATTTCACTGTACGTATGACTATGTATTAATCTTTAGAACTTTGTCATGTTTTCATAACAACACTGAAATTGTATTTAATTGCATTTGACTTAAAATGTCGGAAATGAACCTTTGATATCTCCCTTCCCAAAGGAATAAGAGCAAAGCCCGTGGTATTAATAATGGATGCCATATATCGAATAAATAATAAAGAAAATAAGATACACATCACATTCGGTGTTCATATAGATTCACTCTTTGTTCATTCAATTTATTTCATCTCGTACTAAAATAGTTATTTACATTTAGCGTTATTTACAACACAACATGGTATAAAAATATTCACACAGAGAAACAAACAAAAAACGGGTGTAAATGGATAAAGTGAAATTAAGCTTACGCAGTATTAAGAATATATTATTACTTCCTTTCTTTTCAAAACCCTACTAGTCCTTAAGTTTTTTTTGTTTAAAAAAAGAAGAGATAATAACAGAACAATATATTTGTTGTAGGCCTAGTTGAATAGACAATACACAGATAAAACGATCATTATATTTCTTTTTGATAATAACAATCATTCGAGATTTGGTTGTATAATCGTTTTAATACGATTTGATTCGAAATGGGACACTGCAGACTCAGTAATAACAATACATAGGAAGCATTTAAATACATACTTTATGAAAGATCATTGTCTGCTGGAACCGGGTGGTTACTGTATTCAATCTATGAGGAATGTGACAATTCAGTGAGTTAACAGGCAAGAACGTTGGCCGGAGAACTGAATTAAAGTTGTATTATTTTAGCATGTTTAATAATCTCTATTGCACAAAATCATGTAATACGATATCATTTCTTTATGAAACTTTACACATAGATAATATATTCCTTTCCTTCTCATCAGAAAATAAGTTATTTACATTTTTCTTTACCAAGTAGGCAAGTCACTTTGGCACGAATCAGCAGTATTTTCCCCTTTTCATTTGTAAAAAGGGCAAAAAAAACAAATTTGACTTCTTTACTATTTCTGTAATGTCATTCGTAATCGTATGGTATATCGCATAATAATTATTCTTCGTTCAATGGAGATTAATTTCCGAGAAATTCACCAAGTACGGGAATGCCTAATAACTTTGATGACACCTACATTTTCGGTTTAACTTAATAAAACTTGGAGTGGACTTTAAAGATTATTATTATTATTATTACAATACTGTTTACAAGTTGAGTATCATGAAAAACTACAACAAAGCTGAAGTATAATATTATGTATATCAATGACATATCTATGAAGAAAAATATAATCGGAGAGATCAGTGATCATCATGCCCATTATACTCCATGAGCCTCCAATTTCAAACGTATATTGCACCATCTACGGTAGCAAACGACCAGGCTTCTCTCCTCATACATATTCATTAATCTTCATTATGGGCCAACTTCACTGGGTTCAATTTGGTCATCGTCCAGGAAACCTTTCCATAAAGTTTAGAAGACTAGTTCTAACATGTAAGCATATGATTTCCCAAACAAACAGGTACACGATTACACTCAGATGAAGAGGCAATGAGTGACGTAGTCAGGGGGGGGGGGGGGGGGCTTGCTCTTGGAGAGAAAATAAAAGAGAGAACGTGAGGACTAGACATCTGCCACTAGTCACTGCTAGTTGAATATTTCCAGCTTCTAAATTCCAAGAGTAATTAGATCAACCCTGGTTTATGAAAGCGAGCATTCTTTTAACTTGGATAAGTTATCATATGCATGCATAGAGAGGAAGCGAGTGGTATCTTCAATGTCCTGGCTTGATATTTCTTGTTACTGTTATCATGGTTATGCGTGTCGTAAAGAACGATGGTCGACGTCATTTTGTCATATTTTGGACCTCATCAAACGTTCGTGTCATGTCTATCAAAGCAAAGTCTTCTACAATATGTTCAGTCCTGCGTTTATCATTCATATGACTGGCACAGTCAATCAGTTCATCTTTGAGCAACGTTTCACAACGCCATGTCCATTTCCAAAAGCTCTTAGACGTCCAAAAGCGCAATTTGTTCTAGACTCTCGTTGCCAGGAATCTGGGATAAGTTGAATCCTCCTGAACTGATGGAGCTCATAGACTGTGACTTGCTGCTTAGCTGTGACGAGCCAGGGGATGAGTAGAAACCGCTGTCATCAGAGGCTAGCGATGTCATGCTATTGAGTTCGTATCTAGCTAGCCCTAGCATCACCCTCTTCTCTTGGGCTTGGAGGGCGCGATATGCCAGCTTCTTATCGTAGAGCATTCTCTGTTATAGAGAGAGAAGGAAAAGAGAGAGAGAGAGAGAGAGAGAGAGAGGGAGAGAGATAGCAAATATAGAGAAAAGGGGGGGGTAAAGAGAGAAAAGGTAAAATAGAGGGAGACAGAAAGGGAGAACGGAGGGGAATGTGAGTGTAAAAGGGATAGAGAATGGGAAATAAGAAGAAGAAAATAAATCATCATTATATTTATGGAATACTCCTGAAAAAGAATTTTAAAAAGACATTTCCCAATGACGTGAATAAAATCCCCCATCTACCAATGTTACCCAAATCAATACTTCATTTTCGCTTGTAATGTTCCCATGGATGTTTCACACATCGACAAGTCACATGTTTCATTTTTTTTCAACCAGGTTCCTGGATCTCCCACATATTTCCGATTTGTCTCAGTTTATAAATCCTTATCCAAACTTTCCCTTTTCGTTTCCTTCCCAGTTAATAACAATGATGCAACTCAGACAGTCAAAATGCCCCACCATATATCAAATTACAAAATGTTAATATTTTCTATATCAATTTTATTAAGGGGCATTTGTAGTTACAAAGTGCCTCTCTTTGCAGTGAAAGCGTTACGCGCCTCTTTAAATCACGATTAAAATGCTCTCTATATGTTTAAATCTCCACAAAATAATATACTTTTTGGAGACTTACAAATCATTACTTCAACATTCTGTTTCGACTCCCTTTTATCTTAAACGCGAGGTCACAGTTTACATGTTACATGGAAAATAGCTCTTCCTAGTGTGCCCCCCCCCCCCAAAGAAATAAATAAATAATAAATGAACACTACACTGTAAAAAAATAATAGTCGAAATAACTCAATAAAATTGAGGAAAAGAATTGCCTTATTTTTATTAAGTAAATATTACCTACGGCATCTTAAGTAGAATTTACTTATTTTGCTGAATACATTTTTACTCAGTTAAATCGAGTTACATTAACGTAAATAATTTAAGTATTGTAATCATTTTAGATAAATAAAAATAAGCTATGATAGGATTACATATTGCACGATTTGGTACCCATCTAATCTAACAAGTAACATCCACTAATCATTCACTACTTCTATTAAAGATTAATAACTAATCACTAACACTACTTCTATTTAAGATTTAACCGTATATATATATATATATATCTACCACCATCACAAACTATTACATACGCTTCAATTCGACACATATTGAAAGGCTCCAAATTTTATATATACTTGATCGTAGCATCTTAAAAGGAAAATTGGTTGACAATTTCCTGAAATATCAAGTTTTGATTTGTTTTGAACTGGGTAACAATTAAAAATTGTCTTGTCTTTGCTTAGCCATGTTAAATGAATTAGTAAATGTTTTAAAGTCCTTAAATTTTCATTCAACCACAAAAAAGAATTGTTTTATTTAAAAAAGAGTTTAATTTGGTCTTAATGAATATTCATAAATTATGTAAATATTTCTATTACGCACTGCATCGGTCCTTACTTTAAAAAGATAAGAATAATCAACATAAATTGTTTGAGTAATACGTATAATTTCTGATTTTGAGTTAAAATTACTAAATTAATACAAGCTGAAATTACTTAAAGTTCTTATGTATTTGATTTTACTTAAATATTCCACGTATGTTCTACTAAATTGAAAGTTTGAGTTAACAAGACTTAAATTTAGTGCGTAAGTGGCAAAACTAATGTTTACAAGTAAATTCTACATGGAAAAAATACGTAAAAATTACCAATGAACAAATTATTTTTTACAGCGTATGGTTGGATTCGATTAATTATTGTGTTGCAATAACCTACAGAAACAGGAAGAACGAGAAAGCATTTAGCGAAACTCCAAACACAAAAGTGAAAGTGAATTGTATATGCGTGTACAGGAGGGACATATTCACAATATTTATTAAAGGTCATATAAATACAACAGAACAATGTTTTTTTGTTTAAATAGTATAATTATGTTACCATACCCACCCTCGTAAAACGGGTTTGTATTGGCGTAACCCTATAATGGAGAAAAGGCCCATGGCTTTAATCTACATCCAACTTTCGACTGATCGATGTCTTGCGACTGTCCACCTGTGGATGACTCAACGCCGTACAAAATAGGCCTATTATCTGTTTTCAGATTTCGGGAAACTTTTTAGAATAAGCCATGAATTCAAGTAATTTCCATGTTTTGATGAAGATCCTTGGTTTGTGATTTGGATTTTACCTTACCTTTAATTTTACGAGCTTTTTGTTGTGTTCCACTTTCTTTACACAGTCTTCAAAGAGGAGTACCAGTCTATGGAAGAAAACATATTACATTCATTAGCAAACAATACAATCAAATTAGTGCAGGGGCTCGAAACCCCTACCTTCATATCTCCGGCAAGCGTTCAAACAACTTGACTACCGCACATCTTTACTGGTGATTGCGGCGTTATTATTTATTTTTACCGCCTAATGGTTGCAATCAACACTCCCGCAAAAAACTATGATAATGTAGCATGATTGTCTGCACATTACTTCAGCACAATCACTTTAAAACTTGCAGAAATAAAGCTAGTGAGGAACAATGCGTCGTGCCAATTTATATATCTATGGTAATGATTCTATCACGTGATCACATGATTGTCAGGAAGGATGGTCTCTAATGATATCATCACCAGAATCTTCATGGATTTAACCTCTCCCTTGGTCACACCCAACCCTCAACCCTTTCAAGAAGTGCACTTGTTTCCCATGATTCCAAACGGAAAGCGTTAATGATATTGTAGCAGACAGTTCGACCTTCAAAATGTGCTCATCTGATTAAGGCAGACAGCACAGCGATGATTGCGCAAAAAATATCGGGCTTTCCCGCCAAAAAAGTTAAGGCGACATATAAAGCATGAGATAATGGTTATTTCTGTTTATCATCGGGTCAAACATTCATATTTCTTTGTTGCTGTTTCTGCATGATTTGTTGTTGTTGTTCTTTGTTTTCATGTTTTGTTTTAGTTAGTGAAAAAAAAAAAACACTTTACTCCCCCATCCTCTTTTTAATTTTACTATTTTGTATTATTGTTGTTTTGTATTCCTAATATTATTACCATTTTTTCTTTATGACTTACACGATACCACAATTTCCCTCCTACTAGACTATGCATAATTTGCTTTTTTGTTGAATGAATCATGGAACACCCTTTTAAAGCATGCAATGTGCAATACACACTATGTTGAAACGGAGAAAAAAGTGAAGATTGGTCAATATTCTAATCGCACCGGAGCTACAGGCATCGCACCACGGTTTAGCTGGTTACATTAAATAAGCGTTGAAAACACAGAACAGACGATCATTTCCTTATTTCATACTATGCCAATTTGGCGCGAAAAATCCTTCCCAGGAAGCCCAGCTGACATTTTATCAAGTAAGTGATGAGCACGAACCATGTAGGCATATCCATCTCAAATTACTAAGTTCAGAGACTGTCGTATTGGCATGAAGTACTTGGTGAAGTCCTTATCTATTCTAGAACATTGTATAATATACAGGAAGAATATTCCGAAAGTAAATGAAATACCAACTGATCAACTGACAAACTTGAGTTATATGCAGTGCATGTATACATTTCAATTTCATTTCCCACGATGATCATAGTCGAATATTTGAACCCGACAACATAGCTTTGATCGGAATCTTTCTTATGTTCAGTGCAGTGACCAAGAAGAAATTCAAGATTTTGGATGATACATTAGTTGTCTCTTCTTAAGGTACAATTTGGAAAACGAAACTTATCCATGAACATGCATTTCCAAAACTTATCCATGAACATGCATTTCCAAAACTATCCACAAAAAAATCATTTCCGAATCTCATATCCAAAGAATTTAACATTCGTTATAACTGAGATAACTGGGGATAAACTTTACCTGAGAGCGTTTGGGGAGACGGTGATGAGGTGGACGATAGTCTCGTGCGATGCTCGCTCTACACAGATACCATTCACAGAGAGAATGATGTCACCTAAAGAGAGAAACAAAAGATAAATGAAAGATAGAGAACTTAATATGATCATGGAGCACATAGGACATACGAGATATTAAAGGGAAATTACATCATTTTGATAAAAGGTGAAATGTTAGTTATCAAAAGACGAAACAGTTTAAGATAAAGAAAAATAAATTATGTAGTAGGAAGCAGAAATTGTTGTGCTTGGAACGATAACTGAGTGAGAACGGGAAAAACGTTGGGAAAAGAAAGAAGAAAGAAAGAATTGAGAGGAAAGGGAGAAGGTAGAACTTTTCATGAAATAATCGCGACAATGTGGTTTATTCTTGATTACAAAACATCTATGTCTTTTCTGAAGTTTGTTGATCAATCAATATGACTCTTTAGATTAATCAATAAAGTTCTAAGGAGATATGTACTTTGACTAGCGGGAATAAAACATTATTCTTACAATCATTATTTTCATAAAAAGAGGGAAAATAAGAGGAGAAGGGATAGTATAAATAATTATACAGAGAGAGAGAGAGAGGGGGGGAGAGAGAGAGAGAGAGAGAGAGAGGGAGAGAGAGAGAGAGGGGAGAGAGAGAGAGAGAGAGAGAGGGAGAGAGAGAGAGAGAGGGTGAGGGGGAGTGAGAGAGGGGGAAAGATAACAAAGAGAGCGTAAAAGGAGGAGTTATAAAGGGATAAAGTAGTATGAGAGCATCCGTCTATAGCTGTCAAATCAAATCAAATCATGAGGGATGAATGCTTGAGTGGTGGGCCATGATTCAGACAACTAAACCGTGTTCTTCATTGAACACTTCCGCATGGGCTTCTCCTCTCTTATTAGAGACATACAGCATCCATTATTAGAGACAGATACACCCCTAATCACTCTCACGATATTCACGGCATCCATTTCAGTATGGACCAGTTATCTCGAGGTCAGTAAAGGGACATTCCTAGTTCATGTATCAAAAATAAAAGAGTGAAAATAAAAGAGACAAAATGGTAGCCTCCGCTGTCCAGGGCTCTTATATTCATCTCTTTACTTTTTAAAGACGTACATCTGTTGGCAAAAGCAGGTGCTTGCTTTAATAACAGTACTGTCAAATGCACTCTTTTATTTTTGTTCAACGAAGTTATTTTCGTATTCCGTGCCTTTTTGGTACTTCACGAACATAACATAATAAAACTCGAAATCGTTTTTAACAGTGCTTTAAAAAAGGCAGCGTCATGGTCAATTTCTGCAGAACATTAGACTTCCGAAGGTTAGCCAAGACCACACAAGTTGGCATGATTATAATACAATGAATTTATACAGTAAAACCAGGCATTCCTTGACTCAGTACATTGGGTGTGTTAATGTGGTTACGAAAGAGACACAACTTGAAAATGAGAATTTGGATGATGGCCAGCTGCACTTGAAGGACCTTTCGACTAGACCTTCAGAATATTTATCGGTCAAATAAGTTTAAAGGAAATCCGTTACAAGCAATCTCTAATTTATGATATGCGATTGGGTCCAAACCAAATGTACCGGAACTCGAAGAGGACGAGAAAGTCCCAGATCCTTGTTGGCAATGATGGTCAATGACAATGTGCAATATACCTTTAGGATTAATGAGAAATGCGAGATGTGATAGGAAGTTTGGCTCCGCTCTTTGTATGACAGTTTGAGAACATCTTTCCCATTCGTCTAACCTAATTCTGTCAAGGTATGACATGGACAGGCTCAAAGTGCCTGTGAAGAAGGAAATTGTAAATCGCCAAAATCGGATTCTGGATCATCCATGCCTAAAATAACTCCTAACCAGGTTCATGTTCCATCTCGAAATTTTATTCGCTTCATTTCCAGGGATATCAAATGGGGAAAGTATTGTTCGTGTTCTCCCGAATCACCATCTGTTTATCTTTCATTGCCTTTCCCCAGTCTTTCTTATTGCATCCCTACCTTTCATAATCTCTCTCTCTCTCTCTCTCTCTCTCTCTCTCCGCCTCTCTCTCTCTCCTTCTCTCTTTCTTGCTCTCTTTATCTTGATTTCCACCACTGCTTTCCTCCTTCACTCACTGTCATCATTCACTACCACTCACGTTACAGAAGGAACTCCTCCTAAACCCTCTTGTCACGCAAGTCTACTCTGAATCGATGTTCCAGAGCACTTCTCAGTATGTTCGAAGATTCTTTAAGAGGTGGAGACATGCGTGAGATTCGTCTTAATGTCATGGCCTGAACTTCTATAACCCCATGTTTGCCAGCAGGAGGAGTAGACATAATCGGGATGCCAGCTTTCCTTCCCGCGGAAGTACTGGGAGCGATGCCTCTAAAGAACTCAACAAGCACTGACCTGGACAAGGCCGTCATGACCATCTCCATGAACTTGAATATTGACGAAAATTGAAGTCGACCATGTTACCAAAGTTAAAGATGGGGTACCAATGAGGAACATTGTTGGTTATGGATTCGATGTTTCAAAACTTCATTTATCCAATATTTAACAATCATCAGAACAAGACTTTGATCAACAACCGGACGAAATATCACGTAGACCTATGATGCATCCTGTCCAGGAGTTACGATTGATGCGAATCAATCGCACATCCCGAACTAGTCACAAAGTTTCAAGAGACTATTTCTTGTCTTTGGACTAATACGATACACAAGTTGGGTTACTACTTATTATTCCGTTCAATCGCAACAGTTTCTAAGGGATTTCATTGGTTTCGTTAATATAATGTAAATTAAAGGTGTAGCATTCAATCACAGTTTGCTTTACAGCATGACTAGTGACCTGATCTATACCTTGTATACTCATAATTATGTTAACGATATTAAGACATTATGAAGTCCCTTATGCCGTCACCTTTGTCCTCGCATGTCTAGCCTCATTTCGCTCATCTATTTTCTATCCTTGATCAAAAAACGACGTCACCCTAACAAAAAAGATATCCCAAGACATCAATCTATAATGACCGACCCCATCCTAAAAGCAAGGAGACACAAATTATTTGAGAACCCGTGAGGGAGAGTAACTCATTCCCTAAGTTTGTAGCGTACGTCCGATGGCCTGAAAATCGTCCAATTTCCTTTTGCAGAAGATAGGGATGACCTACATCATTAAAAGCTCTAACCACCTCCTTATATTCACTATGTCCACTTTTGCTTAGAGATTATCTCAAAATGATCCTCTTTTCGCAAAATCATCCTCGAAATGGGTGAAGGTGTAAGTGGTTTTGAAAGGAGAATGGTTGACGTTCATTGAATGTGACTTTTACTACGTTGAGTTTTCGTAAAGATGTGTTTAAATACGACGGTAAACAGGTAGCAGTCTTGTACATCGTCCGGTGCCAACGAAATACATCTAGAAAGGTATTGCATTGTGCACTTCGATCTGTTTCAATGTTTAGATCACATCCTTTGTATTATTATTTTCGAAATAATCTAAGAAAGAATTGATGAATAATCGAATAAATGCAAATTTTACAGAAAAAAAGAATTTGTTGCCTTGTATGTGTGCTCTTATCTTACATTTTGATCCTACCCCCCCCCCCCCCATCTAATCTCTCTCTCTCTCTCTCTCTCTCTCTCTCTCTCCCTCTCTCTCTCTTTCTCTCTCTCTCTCTCAATCTCAAACTCATTTCAAACACATCTTTCATCTTAAAGGTCTTTCATAAAAGTGAATTCCTACTTGAATATGTTCGTCACGTGCTTCCTTTTGATGCCTTGCTAAAGTTTTTCACCGCTTTGTATGATATATTGTCGTTATAATCAATTGTCACTCTTCAGCTATTTATTCTTTAAAAAACGATATATTTTGATATATTGGTCAAATTATGCAACATCATGGATATGAAAGCGATGATCAATTCGATGACACTAAATCCTTGTTTATGGCCTGGATTGGGCGGGTACGATGCATTCTAGAGCAGACAGGGACTGTCGCGTTTGATTACAATTCATTCTGGTTGTCATGGTAACTATGTCATGACAAAAGATTAGTCGAGGCATGAAGAGTTCTATTACAGGAAGCTGGCTATCCGTGCATGGTGATGATTCAGTTTGGTCCTTGGTGCTACATGTCCCAACAAATGGAACACTCTTCGAATCGACAATGTCTTCCCTTCTTTCCAGACAGGGACTCGAACCAATGTACTCAGCAAAAGGTTCGCAAACAGTCATTTGGAAGAAAAGGTAGTTGGTCTTAAATAAGGAGGGGTGCATTGTCATATTGATGAGGGCATGAAACAGGAAAATGTTGTAATGTCATAACAAGAAAACACATTAAAAGACTCAAAGGAAGATGAGAAGAAGAGGATGGGACTTTAATACCTCAGTTCTTTAATCATGATAGAGAAAAATAACATGTAAACAAAAATTTGATATCATTTCATCTGGTGTCTACGTACCTGCTCTCATTCCAGATAGGTATGCTGGCCCATCAGGATGAACATCACAAACATAGGTACAAAGCTCTACTTCATTCCGGCCTTTGTGATGTATAGCATACGTCTGTAGCTCGAAACCAAACGTTCCAAGTTGCTTCTCTACGATGATTGTTCTCCTGATAGAGGAAGAAAATCATGTGAAACATGCAAATTATTGCAATCAGAAACTGATACATAACGGTTCTTTTATACTGTATAAAGGTACTAAGAATATTTCCGCCACGAAATTTATATCATTATTTTTATGAAGCGAAGCGAATAGTCCCGAAATGGGGGCTAGGGGCCGCAGCTCCCCCCCCCCCCCCCCACTCCTTTTGGAACCACATGCTTCTTCTTAGTCTAGCCTAATTGTCTCCATTTATCTCTCTCTTTCTTTCTCTCTCTCTCTCTCTCTCTCTCTCCCTCTCTCTCTCTCTCTCTTTCTCTTCTTTGTCTTTCTTCTTACTATCTCTGAGTTTCAAATGTATCCCTCCTTTTAATATTCATTATATCCATGTACTAATTAAAAACACGTATACCCTGTCCATAAATCTTATCGCTTTTTACGTACACCGTCTGATCCGTCTGATGCGTTGCCCTTAGGAATGAGAAGAAGAAACATTAAGCAAGTGAACCAATCGTTCATACACGATGACCAATGATGCGGTATCAATGGAAAATAGCCAAACAATTCTGACTTCAACAAGATCAATCAGTAGGTTGGCAACGCACATTGCCTTAAACAAATCATCGTCGTCATATTCAGCTTGCTACACGCCACCCGGACGGATGTGGCCTGTTTGTGATTTGACGACACCTGCTCTTCATTTACCTCTCAACTCTGGTCACTATCTTCAACCGCTCTAGCCAATATTCTTTATCTTATTCTCCTCACAATCAGTTATTAAATTTGTCTTCAAATCTATGGTCTCATCATTCTTAATCTGTCCACACCTTAGGTTTAGTCCTTGTCTGCTCGTCTTTCTTGCGTCTTCCCTCTCCATTCTTCTTCCTACCCTTTTTTTTTTCTTACCCCCATCCCTTATTATCTTTTTTTTTAAATTCACCTCCCAGTTAGCTTCAACCATTTAGCTCTCACATACGATAATCGCATATTTTAACTATCTGCAAGTAAGCAATGCCAGTTGCATAAAATAATGATGACCGGTTATATCAGTTTTGTCGGAGTATTATGGATAATATTATACGCTGTTCCTTTCTTTAATTAGCACGCACCTGTTTTAAGTAGGCGGGGAAGGGTTAACATCGGGTAGAACGGAATGCCCAATGGGGGCAGATAATAGTAACGGAAAACGTACCCTTCCTAGTCTAGGTCGACCCGCTGAGATTCACCCATGTCAAGGAATACGAGTTCCCACTAGGGTGTCGGGATGTGTACCCTTAAAGATAAAGAATACTGAACGAAGGGCGTGGTTCTTCAAATTAATTTGTTTGGGGAGTGAGCCAACGCTGTGAAGGGGATATCCGTGAATGTTTGACCCCAACAATAACAAATAAACAAACAACAAGAACTTTGGTAGGCTATTCGGACAACTAACGACCCAGGAAAGGACCCTCGTATGTTTATTACTCACATTAACCATAATTTGTGTAGTCATTAAACATTCGATTGGATTACGGTTGATGGCAAACAGTAAACCGACCAACATTTCAAGTGAAATCTTAATTTTTCTTAATAAAAAAATAAAAATAAACCTCCGACGTATTTGTTTTATAATAAGAAAGTGTAAGGTAAGCATGTACTGTGTATGACTTAATAACTTCCTAATCAAATTATGTAGTTTACAGAGGTGCCCCTCATGATTTTCTGACTTGGTTAGAATTGAAACTTGGCGTTCCCTTGCTCATGCCGTAGAAGAAGTTTTCTTGTACAGCTGAGCTAATACTAGTAATTCAATACATTAACTCATTCAAGAATCAAGGTATCTGAATCCTGTACGGGATCGGATGTGGTTTCCAAACTGAATACCTCTCCTCTGCTGATAAACATGATATACATTTTAATCGTTGGAAAGGTAAATCATATTCAGGCAAAAAGATGAAATATTCTTAATACACTGATATAGTCTGAATGATATACATTATACAGTGTTTGCGTTTGCTTTGCACACTCATGTGTATCGTTCTTGTTCTGCATAATTATAGTGCATTGATATTTACAACAGTTCAATGACTCTGATCTGATCTATATAAGTTGCATGATAACTGTAATCATATACCATTCCACTTTACAGTGCATGCACCAATTAAGGCTCAAATCTGAACGTCGGAAGTACTGATAATTATTAGTCGTATACATTATTAGATTCGAGTACTCCATGTGTTCAAGAGGTATACTATAGCAGAACTATAGCTCACATTCATATCCGTTGTATTATCATTATTATCAGATGTGTTATATTGCCATTGTATGACTTATGTTGCCTGGTTGTCGCCCAGTTGTGCGTTAATTAGCTTCATCACCATGGTAACCTGACATCGGTTATTCTTCCTTTTCCGTTTATGAGCGCTTAATTATTTGGTGCACTGCGATAATTTTCGATTATCTTTTTCTGTTTCTATTCTCTTTCTTTTTTCATTTTCTTCTGTAGTTAAAATTTCCTTTTAATTATCGTAAAACCATATTTTGTTTGACATTGCTATAAATCGGGTCGTTAATCCTGTAAGATGTAAATGAAAAGTGATTGCTTTTCAAGGACACACGTGTTAAGTTCTGTCTCTCATCACCCCTAGGCCTTACTGTACATCCAGACGGAGGATGAGCACGAAACGCATGATTTACATGCACGGCGTACAAGGTCTATGATTAATCTACCACACGTTACTGACGAGCCACAATCCACCTCAAGATATCAATTAGTGCAGTCACAACCGAAATAGCCAGGAGTGCGGGCGAAGGAAAAGAGAGGTCTTTCGTTTGGATCTAAGCATGAATCACCCATAACCAAACCTGCGTGTCATTTGAAATGATTCCTGAGGGACTGCAAGTGAAGCATGAATGAGTTAGCGTTTCATTTCCATCTTCAATTCGAAGAAGATGTAGCAATGTCACTCATGATTCAAAATAGAACAGTAATGTTGAAAGATACTCATGATGTAATGTCATGAGCCAACATTAGACAATTTTCACATAAGTCGTGGAATATTTCAGCTATATATATATATATATATAATTATATATATATATATATATATATATATATATATATATATATATATATATATATATATATATATATATATATAACATTTATCATGTGATAATATATCTATCTGTAAAGCACTGAGACGCATCGTTGATGTATTAAGCGCTATTTTTTTAGTTTGTAGGAAACAGCTATTTATTAGGGCACCCAGTGTCCATCCCTATATTATATAAGACGAATAGTTCTTATTGAATCTGAGATTCGATCTAGCACGGGACTATCGTAAAAGGTTCTACTCTGATCCCGTGTATGCATAAGGATACTCTGCGTTCAGAGAGGGACACGCCCTCAGGCAAGTATTGGGCTGTCGTTATGTACATGGCCGACAAAACAATTAATTATATTTCATTAAGGTGTTTGATTTATGGATTATGTTGCAGACGACTCGAGAACTTAGAATAAGATTGAATAAGAACCAAACAACCCCGGTTTTCATCAGATGCTGGATGTTTATATCATAATTTTACACTATCACAAGTTCATTTTTTGGTAAAGTTACAATGAAAATTTTTAAATGTCTACCAGTGATAAATTGAACGGATAATGAATAACGAAGAGGTCGTGTATGGTGACCGTTGGTGTCAGTTTGTTAGAAAAGGAAAATTAGATTAATCTACGCTGTTTGTGACTCATACCTTTTCTCGTAACTTACCGTGATGGACACTAGACAGACAAATTATGAAATTACCACGAACCCAACAAATTACGCTTCGTACCCTTTTCCCCTCCCACTAATCGGAGGTCTTTAAGCTGTGGTCGGGAGAAGACTCATTGTTTAATCTTTATAAAAATTAAAAAATAAGAAAATAACAAACCGGCCTTTAACAATCCAATTGCAATGTCATACAAACTGTAGGAATCTTCTTCTTTCTTTTTTTTTTTTTGGGGGGGGGGTAATAATTTATGATCCTTGCGGTGATCTAACTGATGAAATATTGACAATAATGTCAAGGGCATTTCAGGATTAATCAACCGCGTTATCATTTCGCACATCCTAATGCTTAAGGGTGAAATCGAGTCCGTCTGGACTGGAAAGGATGAGGTTAGGAGTAAAATCTTCTATTATTAGTGGTTTAGAGCGTGAACTCATCTTCAGCAAGCTGGGATGGGTCCACTAGACAATGCTGCTCCCTGGGAGACTATCCAATCTTTCCTTGACGAGAGGACCGTATTCCCAAGGACTATATATGGGGTGATCTAGAATTAACTATTTCTCTCCTAAAAAGGGGGAAACAGTGTCTCCTGACTATTAGGATTTACACGAAACTCTTTCAATACGAAGGAGATTGAGGTCGGGTCGGTTCTGACAGGTAAACCTTTGAGACAGTGGGCTTGGGGTTTCAGACGTAAGGTTTCAATCCCAAGGCTGAAGTTAGCAACTATTTGGGGGATGGATTGCTTGAGTGATGGTTACCAATTAACTTCCGCTTATAAAAAGACTCGAAGATCTTCAAGATGTGAGGAGGCTTTGGAGTAAGATGTCAGACCTTGATATTTGCTCAAAGAACACACTTCGAGATCAGGGGTAATCTTTAAAGCATGGTATATGACATCCAGTACAATACAAAATACATGAAATAAGATATTCTTGATAGTTGTGAATAGAAGGATAATCTAAAAACAGATGCTAACCCTTAAGACTTTTTGTAACGACAGGTCTTTAGCCCTGTTGCCTTTTTATAGTTTTGGAGACAATCGTGATGCTGGATATACATCCATTAAAACAAATATATATCGTTGTATTGGTCTCATGACTTGCAATACAATTTGAAAGATTTGTTAGAAGTAAAAGCAGACGGTACCAGACCAAGAGGCAAACCCAGAAGTAGAATGACATTGCCAGAGTGCACTGGGATGGCAGAAAACAGAGATGTGTTGTAAAATGTTGCAATCAACCTTCGTACTTACAGAAAATACCTTGACAGATATATTATTCTAATGACACCAGCATTTCAATGAGTACATGGACAAACCCCACACTGATTATAAACAGAAGGATGATTCTTTCGGGATATGTCATGTGTCTCAAAATAATGTCAAAGAAATTATAAATAGAGGAAATGGCGTTTTAAGGTTTGATTAGTCCCAAACCACATTTTAAGAGAAAGATCTTTTCTACATCTGTCATTCTATTATCTTCTCTCCCACACTCAACTCTTTATCTAACCGCCCATTTCCATTCATTTCCTTACCATTTTGTAATCAAAGTCTAACCTGGTGGTTAATCCCCCCCCCCCCCAAAGCAATAAGTAATTACTTTATTTTTATCATGAACAAGTGCGTCTGACACAAACGTCAAATGATAATCTTGTGGTTTGTATTCAAGAAGATGTCGGAAATAAACTTGGCAAGTAGAACAAGAACCTTCAGATGAAGACGTATACACTCACACAGGTGTTTGCTACTCACGAATGGGTAATTATCTTAACCAATTAGAAATTATCACCGTCTTAATTTTAGTTTGATCACGATGCAGGTATTATCTCGTGAAAAATTATAATACGGCAAAATATAAAGGTTTAGAAATAAAATTGTTTTAACCCATGTCAGGATTTCAAATTTAAAAAAAAAATCATCTGTTGTGACACATTATAAAAGGGCTAAATATAAAACTTTGAAATAAAAATGATTAGAATTTTACAAACATGCCAGGATTTTAAATGAACAAACCAATACATAAAATTGTATGCAAAATGCATTAAAATTTTGCTTAGTTCATCTCTGTCTCTGAACGATCCCATTTAACAGATAAAACGGATAGCCAAAAAATAGCACATTACAAACCATCTTCCTCTCTCTCCCTCCTCTCTCTCTCTCTCTCTCTCTCTCAGTCTTTCTCTCTCTGTCCTTCTCATTCTTTCTTTCTCTCTCTCTCTCTCTCTCTCTCTCTCTCTCTTTGTCTTCTCTCTCTCTCTCTCTCTCTCTCTTCCTCTTTCTTCTTCTCTCACTTCTCTTCGGTGACTGTACACTATTATTGTAAGGGGGTGTTGAGGTCACAAACTTAATGAACACTTCTTTGCCATGGCGTCCCTCAACTTAATAACTGCCGTGAGTCCCCAATGATCATGTTGCCTCATAACATCAATATTGAGCTCTGTCTAATTAACAGATTAATTAATTCTTTGTCTTCAGAGGGCCCCATCTCTGTCTTAATTATCTTAGCCCCCACGTGGCTTATATTGCTGACAGCTATAGGACCCAATTTACATCCAACATTGTTCTTTTATCATCATTGGCTCATGTTCGCGAATTCCTTCCTTTCCAAACATTGTAATGCAAAAGTCCCGTCAATATGAAAATATTCCTACTCTTTTAGAAGCATTTCAACACAATTCAGTATCACGTGTGTCAAGATCATTGAATGCGCGCATGGACCATTTTAACTACAATACCAAAATTTATATGAAAAGGAGAAGACTATTTATAAACAGATAGGTAATAGGGCTTTTTTTTTCTTCTTCTGTTATAGCCCCCTGAAACCCGGAACTCCTACCCCCTGTACTTAAGAATTGCCATACTTTCACAGTTTGCAAGAAGTCTGAAAATACATCTTTTCTAATTTGTTGTAATATTGCTCTCTGTTTGTAATTAATATAAGCTTTGTATGACAATATTCTCTAGTTTTGTTTGTTGGTAAGTATTTCTTGTTTATGCGCTTTGTGTCTAACGGAAAGGCGCTTTATAATATACAACAAACACGTCTATTTCAGTAGAAAGTCGCATATCACATGACAGGGAAAAGATGAGATAGGTGAAGTGGATGAACTTTTAGAATGGTTTCTTTCGGAGTCTTAGTTTGTTAAAATGGTTATGAAAATCAAGCATAAAGTATTATAGCATACAATATTATTTTCCAGGACATCTTGATATACAGTTTATGAATATATATGTTTGTTTCTTACCTCTTGAAATTTTCTCTTTCATCTGTTTTGATCAGTCTGTCCTGTAACGTTTCTTCTGTTAGCTGTTGTTTCGTCATTTTCAACGTAAGAAAAGGGTAAAACAAGAATAATGAGTCACTATATTCATGTAAACATTAACTCATCAAACGAACCATCGCCTAAACTAATCATACTGGCACTATAATGATCATTATCTCAAACTGCAGCATTCCTCAATCCGACAATATACATGCACATACAACAAGCATGACGTGTATCGTTGAATGAGGAATATGTGTTTTATACAAGGATATGACTTCCCTCACATGACTTGTATCGCAATGCTGCGTAAACACAACATAACAGAAAGGAGATCAAATGTCATGGAATCGACTGGTTATCAGTTTACATTGTTGTGATATATCCATTTACAACATCTCTCGGTATAACACCGAATTAATATTTGCCTACGATTAGGAAAGTGCAATTGTTTCAATGCCAGTTTCATTTTGAGCGTTCCTGCAATGGCATTAGAAAAAAAAAATCATTTTGATTTGTATTAAAAACCAGTTATCAAGCACCATACAACTCACACACTTGTCTTGATGCTATTTAATTTCAATGTTATACATCAAAGGTCAATCATATTACAACATATTTATACACGTTTTCTGACACCTTAGCCTTTAGACGAAATATGCAATGTTTGACATTGAAAATAAGCAGATAGGTTATTTCAATTGTAAGCTACGATGTGTTTGTTTGATTATTCGATGTTCGAGCCACTCAGCTGATGTTTTTTCTTCGAAACCTGTACCCTTAAAGCATATGATGACAATTTCAAGGATAACAAAATCACTTCCAGGGATAAAGTAAATTACTTTAAGATTCAATCATACCTTTCATTTTATCGTATTAAATAACAACACAATAGATGACAATAGTCTAACCAGTGTTGACGAACACCTCTATATAGACAAAAAATAAATAACGAACGAAGAAGAATTTAAAAATAAAATAAAGGATTTAAAAATAAATCAGAGAGAGGCTTATCGACACATGAAAAGAAAAGTTACATACTGACAGTAAAGGGGGGACTTGAGCACCCTGAATAATGGATATGTGCATTATATAAATATCCAATATTATTAGACAATAGAGATATAGGACGAGAGGCGGTCAATTGGGTTTGAGAGAGAGAAAGAGAGAGAGAGAGACAGAGAGAGAGAGAGAGAGAGACAGAGAGACAAAGACAGAGAAACAGAGACAAAGACAGAGAAACAGAGACAGAGACAGAGAAAAAGAGAGAGAGAGAGAGAGAGAGAGAGGAGGGGACAGGCAGACAGACATACAAAGATTGAAAGAGGGGGAAGGAAAGGGGGAGAGCAAGGGAGAGCAAGGGGGCGTACATACAGATAGAGAAGGGGCAGTTCAATAATTATGTTAAGTATCTTTTTTGCCACCGACCTATGAAACATCATAATTACAGACAAACTCAACTCTACAAAATGACCTCTACAAAGTTTAATAAACAGTACTTTTTGTAAAACAGGAAAAGCACGTGAGATGATACATAGCTTTCGATTCGTAAAAAAACTTTCCAACAATAGTTTCTATTTGCATGTCAGTTGGTAATATTTGCTTGATTCTTATCAAAAGGTTGCCCTTGCAGAGCCATTTTACTACTTCTAACAAATTTCGAAACTCCACTTATTATGGACTAAAGAGTGAATACAAAATATACAGCGATTTTCAAGTATAACTTGCTAACCCCCCACTGCAAAAAAGATTTTGATCTGTAAAAACGGGAAAGATGCCTGAAGAATTTCACAGTTTTTCATGTTGATGAATAAATTCTAATTAAAATTGGATTTTTACATGATTCAAAATCAATGACATTATCGCGCAGTTAATACAGAAATAAAAGGCATGTATATATTTATATTATCAGTTTGAACCTTGAAGAATGAAACTGTAGGATAAAAGTGGCAAAAACACGACTGAATTCTGACTTCTTGCCAAGCAAATCCAACAGTATACAACATAACATTACTTGAAACGGTAGGGTGGGGCACTTAATTTACAAGAATAATTCAGAAAGACATGGAAATGAAACAACTGTTAAGACTAAGATGATGTATAGGAGAGTTTAGCTCGATGAGTAATGGTTCCTTGACTGAGGCAATATACCATTAGACATGTATTTTGTTGTCTGCATATAATGATTGCTAAGATTAGATTAGTATTAGATGATTATATTCTATCCTTCCCTCTCAAAGGCTTTTTATTATTTCAATAAAGCTCATTAATTGCGTCTTCCACCCTCGTTATAACACGTGGGTTATGCAAGCACGAATGTAATCCGTCAGGATTTAGACACAAACTTTTAGACAAACTTTTTAATGCAAGGCTTTATTTTGTTCGAAGACGATTATTAGGAATAACGGTTGCCATGACAGAATCATATTAATTATCGAATCATTATCCAGATGTATGATTAACATGCACATCAGAGCTATATGCCTAGAGTACTGCAAAGCGTTTAGAGATGTCGTTAACGTATTAATCGCTATATGAACCACGATTTGTTTTGGTATTATTTTTCAATTATCATTACTTTTATCATTATCATTATTTTATTATTAAATTTTTTGTTGTTATCATCATTATTATTAAAAATAATTTGTTTTTATGTCAAGCAAATAATCATTCTATCCAGTACAATGATAGATATATAGATCTATAGATGACCAGAATTGGTTTCACCTGTAAGTTTATATTTGAGAGCACGTTTTGTGTCAATCATGTCAGAAGTGATTCAAAACTAAACTTCTGATGAGATTATATCTAGGTTTGTCTTCCCATGGTCAACATTATGATTGGATCAAAGTTCCAAAGTCTCCTCCCAGTATTCCCATCAGAGGTATTATGTTTATGGGATTGGGTTGAAACTGGGTTGTACTCGGAGACGTCGGAAGTTGAACGAGTCGTATGTTTGCTTTCAGTATGATCTATGTAATCACTCTGTGAAACAAAAGCGATTAGAAAACGACAAAAATAATAAACATAGTCCTGGAAAATTATGTTAAACATATCCCCCGCACCTGTTTGTAAAGTATCGTATAGAGTGGATTGTTTATACCTCATGTAATCTTACTTGGCAAAACCCAAGGATGTTCACCGAAAAGGTTATCATTTTATTAAAATTTAGTAAAGTTAAAGGCGTTATATAAAATAAACATCTTTAGTTTGGTTCTAATTTTGGCGCCTAGAAATTAGGCGCCTTAAAAATTAACCTTATTATTATCATTCTCATTCCAAAGTCAATAATGCCTAAATCAACTAAAGTAAGTAATTAATGCGTCAATACAGGATGTGACGTGAGAGCCTCAAGAACTTAGTTTAGAGGTCAACTTTGTTTGAGGTTTCGATCTTGGCAATGAAATATATTTGAAATTACATTTCCTTTATCATTCGTTAAAGGTTAATCTATCATCAACTTTCTTTATTAATAAAAAATCACACGCATGGTTTACATGTCGTGTAGGATATCTTCAAGATACTTACTTTTCTATTGTTTTCTATTAATGTTTCTACCAGTGATATAGTTTATAATTAATTCGCTGGAAAATTCCCGGGAAAATTGTGTAAGATAGTACATCCGAAACTGTTGTTTACATTTCATGGAACCCCCGTTTAATTTTTCAATTTCACTTTGATTCAAAGTGATTTTCTCTGTTCAAAAACATGATTTCCTGGTCTTGGCAAATATAGCTATGTAATGGCAAATTATAGTTCGATGAAGATATAACGTTGGCAATTTTCCATGAGGCATGTTATGATATAATGTAACAAAGATTTATACTCAAAACTTTATTATGTTATGTTGTTCACGTGGTAAATTTTTGCCTTGGATTCGAATTTATTGGCATGGATTGTTTTACACAGTGTCATATAATAGATGTATGTCATCTCTTTTGATGATTTAAGCCTCTAAAATCAAAGTATAAATGTTTTTAAATACGTTCAGGTTACTTGCAATGATGTGAATATATTCCACTTCTATTATTATTTCTCTGATAAATAAGCAATAATAAACATGCATTTTATTCATGTAACGATTGGCAAGTTTTCATAATTTATGTGCATGATGTTGTCCTCAAATCATAATCCTCTTCGTACAAAAAAATACATTTATTGTAAGAGACAGAAATACAGTGAGAGAGAGAGAGAGAGAGAGAGAGAGAGAGAGAGAGAGAGAGATAGAAAAGAGAGAGAGAGAGAGAGAGAGAGAGAGAAGAGAGAGAGAGGTTGGGAGAGAGAGAGGGGGAGAGAGAGAGAGAGAGAGAGAGGGAGAGAGAGTGTGTGTTGAGGGGATCGAAAAAGTGGGAGGAAGTGATTATTGGATTTATATTTTCAGTAATCTTCTCTCAAACCTGTGTTAAAAGAATATATGGATCAAGTTCTCTTGAGAAGATGGTTCAAATACGGCTATTTTGTTTAGACGTCACAGAAAGCATGGCATTTATTTTGCACAACCAGAAACCGCTAGTTACATCAATTATCTTTTATTTTGAGAACATTCTGGACAAAACCACATATTGTTGTAAATGCAATTCTCATAATATTGAAAACAACATTACCGCAATGCTCAATACCAGTGTCAAATTATCACACCTTGGGGGTGTTTCACAAAGATCCTAAGTCGAACTTAACTCTAAGTTGGACTTAAACATTATGGAGAGCTATTTGTAGCATAATGATAAATATATTCAAAAGCAAATATTTTACTATTTTAGAATTTTCACAAATTTTACATTTCCACACCAAGAACATGAAATCTCCTTGATAATAGAAAATATTTTGAATCAACATTTTACAAAATATTTTCAAAGATGCAAATGGCTTTCCATAATAATATTGTTAAGTCCAACTAAGAGATAAGTTCAACTAAGGATCTTTGTGAAACACCCCCCCCCCCCCCCCCCCTTGAGTTAGGTCCTCGTGTAATCCTTCCCTAGGTTTGACTACTGCAGGATTATCACCAGTCCTGGTGAACTTTCACCGAACACAGCATCTCTCGACAGGTGAGGTGTGTGTGTGTGATGTCTGTCCCTGCATGGACGTGTTCTATGATAACAGGAGACTGGTCTTCAAAGCGATAATCGGGACTCACTTTTCACCTTATGATTCACTCATCCTGAAAACAACCAACCCTAAACAATATCCGACGAGTGATCCTCGTCAGGTAGGTAAGGAAGAACCTCTTGCAGGTACGTCATTGGCTGCCTCTATACGGACACAGGACGGTGTTAGGTCTTGTGTAAGATATCCTGATTCACACCTCTTAGGGTTAAGAAGAGAACCGTGAACTTCCAGCCCCCCCCCCCCCCCACCCCCTCTCTCCTATCGCACTCTACGGCGGGTGGGTTAATCACATTATAGGGATAATTGTTTACAATCTTGTTTACTAATTGAGGTATGGGCGTATAAAGGTGTGAAGTCTGAGCGAGAAGCAGTAGAAATGGCAACTAAACATTCTCCATTTTGTTAGCCTGACATACTTAAGGAAAACAAAATGTAAATCCTCTCAAACAAATGACGCGATGACATTACATACATTCACCCATACAGTTTATAATTCAGAAATGCAAAAACCTTTTTGGAAATGAAATATGAAATATAAAATACACATTGCTATCATTTCTAACACGATACGATATAAGAAGCTGAAAAACTATATGATGCATATACTTACAAGTCCGGAAGTATTTAAAAGAGATTCTTTCCTGCATGTTTTCTTCCTTCTTTCTAGAGTTCTCATCATGAAGATTATTTTGTAATAAAGGCTTGTAAAATTCTCCAAAATACGATTCACATCACCCCCGTCCGCTGAGGAATTCTAAACGATGTTGAGCTGACGTTGACTCTAAATCCTGTGATTTCACAAGTAATATGATGCACAGTAAAGTATATCAGTCACTGACATGTAATCTCAAAAATATTCTCCCGATACCCTTTCTAGTTCAATCACTGAAACAATAGTTGTGTCGCATATAGGTCGAATTTCCTTCCGAGTTGGTTTCAAAATGATAAACAGATATCAACTTAATGCGTGTCTAATAACCTTTATTTTACCAATCTCCATGCAGATAGAGAGTATAATTCCCGCGCTTTTCACTTGTTGCTAGTCGGTATGTAAATGACGTGTTGGGAAGAGAAGTGATTGCATGCAGTGAAGCGGTGTTTCCCCGTTACTGTGTTGAATGCGTGCGGTCGAATGATGCAAGGATATGACGTCATAAATTAACAGTGTGTGCATGGAGTCCAATGGATGCCCTCATATCACGGGCGCAGACTCAGTACTCAGTTTTCTGTCCGCTGGTAAGATCTGATTTTTTGTTGAAAATGTAGATCTTTGAAAGATTCACAATGTTAATTTGTTTTCCCATCTACTACTTTAGACAATTTTAATACTAACCAAGACACCCGCCCAACAAACAAACAAGTAAACAGATTAATGTTTCTCACTTCCCCCTACCCCCGCAAACACTTAGTAACTTAATTACGTAAATAAGTGGCTATTAGTGTACCATGAGACCATGACAACGTGCAAATATTCACATAATTAATTAAGGATTGGACAAACAAACACGTTGCTAGTTGTGTTTACCCTGATAAACGCACAGTATGCCTTATATAAATTCATCTTTATTATTAATTTTGCTTGAATATAACGGCACACAAATTCGACAAAGAGTACAAATCAAACAATAACTAAGAGTGTGATTTAGATCATGACTGACGGGTAAATCGGTCTATTTTATATTTGTAATTTTTTCTACAACTCTAATTTAGGCGATCAACAGCTTTGCATGAATAGTGCTACATTTCTGTTGATAGAATAAACAGCGAATACACGAGACAAATCTTCTTCTTTTTTTTGGGGGGGGGGGGGTGGGGGGCATTAAACATTATAAGACTATAATGATGCGTTCTCGGTTTTTTTTTAATAAATTGATTAACAAAAATATATATTATATACCAATTTTCCAATGTCGGGAAATGGGTGTCACTTTTATACATTTGCATCTTGAATTTGCGCGACCTACATGAATTTGTATATAATTATCTGAATGTAATAGCGAACATACTGACCAGAGTGACTTTTTAAAACCATTTTCGTCGTAGATGGAGCTCTTGTAGTCTGACCAAAGTGAATCATTGGATTAATAGATCGTGAAAAGGTCGTGTGATATATCAGTGGAGGGTTTGGGACTTGAAGCGCCCCCCCCCCCCATCCCCCTCACACCCCATTCTAGAGAATCCTGATCGGCCAAGTTTTAAAGACAGAATATTCCTGTTCCTCTCACCATTCTGTAAGTGTCCTCCAGTTCTTTAGAAAGCATGCACCATTCTACATCTCATAAAGTACTTCATCAATACAATTTCAGGAAGGGGGTGGGGGAAGGGGTTCCTGCTGGACGTGGCGTTTTAAGAACTAAATAAGAATTGTATTGTTTTTGCAAGACTTTGGATTTTGGGGCGTTACAATGTCCACTTAGTGGACAGCATGGATGCAAAAGCATTCCGGCTTTGTGAAGAAAATATTCAGGAAATGAAATAATTCCAGGAATTTAAGGAATACTGAAAAAGTGAGAAAAAATTATGATTATGTTATCATTTGTTTAGCTTTCGAAATGTATAAATTTACCCATTTCCTTTAAATAACGTTTAATTTAATTTTGTGCTCTCTCGCAAAGCTGGAAGTTTAAAGTGATGTTCTGGTGCTACAAAAGACGTATGACGTTAGTTTCCCTAGCTTTCATGAAAGAAGAACAACAACAAATGGCACGTAAGAGACATTTTGAAAAATGTGAGGCAATTTCATCAATAAGAAATGTGATGTCTATTTAATCAGGAAGTTTTCATATGCAAAAACACTGAGAAATCCCATATACTTAATGGAAATCAAATCAATTTTTTTGGACACAACGCAAAGTTAAGTAGAAATTTTAAAAAAGCTTACAAGAAATTAGATTTGATTAAACAATCAAAATCCGAATAATGGAACAATAATTGTATGTTTATTCCAACTCTATCATATCGGAATATAGATGGTTTTAAAAGAACATCGACACGTATGGTATTTAATAACTTCAAGTCTTCATTTTGTCTCCATTGTGTTGTTACAATAAAAAAGTAAAAAATAAAATTTTTGTTTTTGTTATTGGTCAAGGGGAGGCGAGTGGGTGTTAAGAAAAAAAAAAGAAGGAGTGTTCGCCTGGCTGATTCGCCGCTAAATATTTTCTCACGAATCGGGCCAAAATCACGGGCCTTAAAAAATCCTGGATACGCCCTTGGTCACGAGTAAGTTAAATGTTTCTGCTATTGAGCCTTAGATGATTCGGTACAAGATAAATGTGACCTATTGAAATAGGGCGCTCTACCAGCTCTGCTATATTTACCCTGACTTTAATATAGGCTATTGCTCTTTCGATTGCTGCTATATCGGTGAGGCTTATGCATAATTAAGGTAATAGATACTTTAACTAAATTTATGCATCATTCTTGACGAAAGGTTTCCCTCGACAAGTCAAAAAGGTTTCCAGAGGCTTACCAGGCATCAATGTAAGCAAAGTGATCCCATCTATAGAGATGTAATGATGTATAACATAACAGTTCTAGAGTATGGTAGTTCGATCGGGAGCACATTTCCAAATCTATACATGGATGCTTTGATACCATCGATTTATATATTCATTCTTTTTATTTCTTTGTACTGGACAGGTGTTGAAAAACTGGCAAGCGGAAAGGGTCAAGCAGGTGACAAAATACAATAAATACAAGTGTTTACAATAATAAAAAAGATGTTTGGGGTTTCCAAGAATATTGTTTGAACTTTTAAAGTCGATTGAAATGAAGGCCTTTAGTTTCAATCGTTAACTCCACCCCCTGGAAATCTAGCGCTATCTTCATTAGAAAGCACGGTAGTATAGTGTAGCGATATATTCCACCACCTGCTGAATTAATTCTGACGGGCGCCACCTCTCGCTAAGCCAATCCGACGAGTACCGTCGCACCGCTACGGTAAACATATTTTCAGACAATATTATTTCCCACGTCGGTCTCGCCTCAACCTCCTCCACACTGTTACTGTTAGGTAACATAAGCCTGTTTTCCATCGTAAGGACAACCTAGGCATTTAACAGTGAGTCGATGACGTATTTCGTGGTTTAAGTCAACAAAACCTCCCCTTTGTTCATCTGTTCCCATAAGAAAGTCCCCTGTATTTTTTGTTTGTCGATGTGCAGTGATCCGTTTCTCTAGGCTTTGTCTCCCGCGCGGTACCCGGTACCCTTTCTCCGTGTGTGGACATAGTGAGCAAAACAGCAGAGCAGCTGACTGACGAAAAAAACTGGTCAGATTGATTCGAGAAAAAGTTGTCTGGACAGCCCTACAAGAATTAAGCTGCTCAAGGACTGCATATCATGCATCGGTTATAACTCGGACAATCATTTGAAAGTTACCAATATGGCTGACATCAAAGTGTTATTGAGATATTTTGCCGTTCTCCTTGCCGTGTATCCATCAGGTGAGTTGTTATCTAATGTTCGAGGTTGTTGTTTACATACAGAGAGTGTGCGGTGCTATCGAGGTGTATCATTGTCATGATTGTCCATGATTGCTACAATCAACGTGAGAGTGATGATAACATAGTCTAGTTGGTGTTAATAAATAATAGTGATCATTTTTAATGTGCCAGTCTGTCAAAAGTGACACTCTTACCGTATAGTTGTGAGAAACTTGTATAATTGTGGGCATGTATGATGTACACTGTGAATATGACGGCCAAAGAAAGCGGACAAAATATACAGTTCCTCATTCTACCCTCAACAATTGCTATGGTAGACAAAGGAACAAGCCTTCACTGCTATTATGTACAAATGTGTAGAACAGGTGAATATGCATGTGACACCTGTACTACAGATTTTTACATAATAGCAGTGAAGGGATGTTCCTTTATCTACCATAGCAATTGTTGAGGGTAGAATGAGGAACTGTATATTTTGTCCTCTTTCTTTGTTCGTCATGTTCATAGTGATAACTATTGAGTAGGCCTAGGCCTAATTCAAGAAAGAAAGTTGATGCCATTTCCTTTTGTATAAAGAAATTTGGTGGTGTTTTGTATTTTTTGATACTCAATAATCTCCCAGGTCATGTAATATGAAATCCTCCAACAACTTTCTAAATATTAAGAGTATTAGCTATTAGATATTCCTCTTTACATTGTTGGGCCCCAGGCCCGGCCCAGATGAGTTCAAAAGTGCACAGATAGTACCGCAATGATGACATGATGCTGATATGTTTGATATGGAACTGTGAACACATGTATTCAATACATAAGCTTTGTGTGTTTCACCTTTTGTTAAAAAGATAACAACAGCATTATTCTGTAAAGCTGTTTTTTGTGTTTTTTTTTATGTGTTTGCATACATTTAAATGAAGGTTCATGCACTATAGGAGGAATTAAAGACCACCTATGCAAATTTGCTCTGAGCATAAAGGGTTCTAATTCTTATAGAGCTGCATAGAGAGAGAGAAAGAGAGAGAGAGAGAGAGAGAGAGAGAGAGAGAGAGAGAGAGAGAGAGAGAAGAAGAAGAAGAAGAAGAAGAAAAAAAATCAGAAAACTTTTAACAGTTCCGTCTGCATGCTTCACCTGAACTCAGTGATTCACACTCACTGGGTTAACCCTCTTTCTGCAACAATCTTCAAACCGGAAGAAGGCAGATGTACATGATATTCTACTTTGATCCAAATTGCTCCTTCTTCTTTCTCTGAATAAATGTGCAAAAATTAAGGGACTGCATTTGCCCTGATACAGTATGCTATAAAAATACATTATTAGTCTACAGTGTCCATGTACAGTAGGTAACCTGAAGAAGAAGGAACGATTGGTTCTTTAAAATGTATACTCTTCTCATCCCCTGTAAACATCATGTTCGTTTGACCTCAGAATTATTATTAATATAATGATATTTATGCCTCCAGATTGGTCTGGGTTCAGTTGCACAAACATGCAGTGATCATTACATTTCATTCAGTTACGCTTGGGTTCATCCTGGCCGAGTTTAATGGGTGGAGTGACTGTGCTAGATAGACAGTGTGTCTATACAAGGTCGATCATGCATACCAGTACAATACATGGAGCAGTCTTTTATTTCTTACCACAGCCTCTTTCATCAAATGATGGTGGTGGAAATAGAATGAGCACTAGCTGTCATGGTTATTTAGATTTTTTTTTTTTTTAATAGTAAGATGATTAATATAGCTTGAGGCAATTAACATTTGGATGTGTGTGTGGGGGAGGGGAAGGGGTTGTTCACAGATACAGACAGTAGCAAAGATTAGGTTAATAGGTGCACATATCATATTGATGAATAATGAATAACCAATTGTTTCAATAATGTATGTCATCTATTCCCATCATTTATTGATATTACACTGTAGCAACTCCTACATGTACCTGCATACAGTAATGCTTGGAATAAAGTAGACAATCTCACACTGTGTCATGCATGACTGCATGTATTATTCCATAGACTTTGGTGTGACTTGGTGGTAATGTGTCTACCGGGACTTTATTTCAAGCAATACTATATGTATTGATTTTTTTTTTTAATGTGGGGGGGGGGGGGGGGGGGGGGGGGGGGGAGGTCAACCGGAACATCAATATATCTGGTTGTTTTTGTTTGCTTTTTCTCTCTTTTGGTAGGTACATGTAGTTGACTTGAACACCAATATACATGTACATGTACCTTGTAGTTTGTTTTTTTTTGTTTTTTTCTTTGGGGAAGTGGACTGGAACATCAATATATCTGGTAGTTTTTTAATTTTGGGGTCAATTTACCGTAGCTTCCAAAATGACTATTGTTATTTCATAAAAAAGGGGAGAAAAGTTTGCATTGTGTGATTCTTTGTCGCACAGTTTGCACTGAGATTTCCTGGTCAAACAGACTTTTTCTGGAGAGGTCTATTGTTCAGAATTATTGGGGGTCCCTGGCAGCTGAGTCTGAATAATACAGACCCATCATATGAATGCATGTACAGTCTGCTCAACATACAGTCTTAAAGTCTGCAAATACAGACCCTCTAATGTAAAGTCTGCAATTGCTGAAATACAGACTCAGATTTTCTAACTAATATGAAACTTTATGGGGAATATCTACTCTGTAATAGCCCTTTTCAAAAATGATGCAGGAAACTACTTAAATTATTGTTGAAAATATTTTATAATAAAAAACGTTTTGTGCATAGGGTATAAAAATATAAATAAATAGCAAGTTACAGCAAAACTCTTTTTGTTTTGTTTTACAAAGAGTGGTTATCAAGTCAAATAATCTACCATCTCATGAAGTTAAGAAAACCCATCAATGAACATACATGTATTAAGACACGTTTCAAGAACTTTGGATCATCCAGGAAATGATTTTTTCAACTGTTCATTTTCACTCAGAACATACTTATCTGTGTGGTTGCAAAGGGGGACAAAAGTTTGGTGTTATATAACTTTAAGCCCACTATCAAGGTATGTTTTCCAAAATATGAGATATCTCTGCACTTTTAACAATATATCTGTAGATCTTGACTTTTAATATATAATTTGTTTTCTGTAGACTTTGTATGTTTTCAAGCCTTTCAGATTCTCACATGTACATGTAAACATGTGTACTAAAAGTGACATGCAATTGGCCATATTGTTCCACCTTTTGTGCAAATTTCTTACCAGGGTTTACACATGCTAAATACATACACATGTATGTTGAATCAGGGAGGTGAGACTCACATGCCCTGGTTGAATGCAAGTCTCTCCCTTCTATATTATGAGTTATTACAGCCCTATTGTGATTTTGCTTTGTGGGTGAGTATTATGTACATAAAATGGTTGGATTGGCAAGTGGGTGGATTCGTAGAAGCTCTTCATTGTTGTACCCCTGGAATGATACAGTTCCAATAGAGACCAGTTTGAGGTATCTTGGGATTAGTATTCAATAGGTTAAGTATGTATTTTGCAGCTTTAATGTTATGTTGTGAACGAGTCATCAATTTGTGTGGTTGTCGTTTCACAGAACTTTCTGAAAGGGCAATCCAACCCATGTAATAAGTACTGCTTCAGCCAATTTGAAGCACCCATATGTATAGTGATTACAACTTTAAAAAATTCATAACTTTCATATTTAGTCAGATTTAATTGAAACTTTCATCAGTTTGCTTCTCTGATTTTTCTGCTTTCTTTAAGTTGTCTTTTGGGGTTTGATTTCCCTTTAAGTCCAAGCTTGCAGACAAAAAGACTTTAGTCTCTTTTGACTGCAAGCTTGGACATGTGTTTATTTTTTGGTTGGTTTGTTTGTGACCTGACTGTAAAGAAAGCATATACATGTATTATGTATATTCTTGTAAGTAAGCAACCATGGGACTGGCATCTTTAACCCCTCTCCATGGGATTTAGTAATGAGGATTAATGCTTTACCAGAGGGCACTAGAGCTGGTAGAGCTTTAAATTGGTTTTGAACCAGAGACATCTTGATTATGAGACCACTGCTCTACCCCTGAGCCATCTACATTGTAGCCTCCTGTAAGATACATTGTATGCATGGCATTATGTGAAACAATGACAAAGTTTCATTTTGGAAGGGGACACATCATAACAGAAAAAAAATACTTTAACAATTTGGGGGCTACTTTTCAAGCTTGCTTGCATGAAAATAATACTCTTCAATTTGTTTTGCATTGAACTCTATACAAATTTGGGGGGCTCTTTTATGTCTTTCAGGGGCTATTTTTGGCATTTCGGGGGCTAATTTGCAACGAGCCCCTGCGTATTTTTTTCACTGCATCATAAACTCTAGACTTGTGTCTGTGATGTACATGTACATGCATGTATGCAGCATGCACTCTTTTTGGGATTGCAAGATACACATGTATTTGAAGTTGGGGTGGTGTTGGGCAGGTGGGGGGGGGGGGGGGGGTATTTGGTGCACCAGGCACCAGGTATCTCTTACCGGTACATGTATACGGATCCGGGCTAACTCGGACCAGGGGATAACTTGGCCCAGCTGCAAAAACGGTCATTTTTTGTCATTTTACCCTAATTCTAACCCTAACTCTAACCCTAACCCTAACCCTAAATCTTACCCTAACCCTAACCCTAAACCCTAAACCTAACCCTAAACCTAAACATGCAAAAACTGACCGTTTTTGTACCTGGGCCGAGTTGTCCCCTGGTCCGAGGTAGCCCGACTCCATGTACACAATAGTGTTGATCCCTGGTTTAAAGGACAAAAGAGATGATCTTTTCAGCCTTCACTGCATGGGCCTCAAGTAATAAAAAAAATTGTGAGTCGTTCGGATTCACAAAAGTACTGTACTGTGTTAACAGAATATTGTCCTCTAGCTGCTTATCACCATTCATGTACAATGTTGGTGGGAATTGCTTAAGCTGGTACATGTGTGACAGTTACAGGATCAATTATCCTCTTGGGTAAGGGATTAAACCATTCATAACAGATTTAAGCTACTTATATACCTTAAAT